TAGGTCTGGATTAGGGCCCAGCAATCTTTTTTGTGCTTGATTTTTAAACAGATGCCCTACGATGTGTCTTATCTTCAGACAAGTTTGGAAGCTCTGTTTTAGAAGGATCTTCTAAACCATTTATTGCTATCCTAAGTTGCTTCTGTATTCCGACTACGTTTTAGTCTGTCTAGCTTTGGTCTGGATTTCTAAATTAGAATGTGTGTCCTTCATCTGATTAACTCCTCTCTTCTGTAGTTAAATGCTGGCTAATGGTAATAACTTTGGCCTTGTATGACTCCATTTTTTTAGCCAACATTTGTAAACCCACTGGTTCCTGGGATGTGTGGGTGGGGAGGAAATATTAGTTATGAACATTGAGCTACTCTGCATCATTTCACTGTCCAAATCCAGGAATCTATGTTTTGTATTTGAAATGGAAAATTGACTCAGGCTTTAAAAACAAATTTACTAATTATCTGCCTTAGATTTATGCAGCATCATTTTTGGAGATGTTAAAGCACTGTGATTTGAAGTTTTTTGTTTTTTTTTTTTGCGGTACGCGGGCCTCTCACTGCTGTGGCCCCTCCCGTCGTGAAGCACAGGCTCTGGACGCGCAGGCCCAGCAGCCATGGCTCATGGGCCCAGCTGCTCCACGGCACGCGGGGGATCCTCCCGGACCAAGGCATGAACCCGTGTCCCCTGCATCGGCAGGTGGACTCTCAACCACTGCGCCACCAGGGAAGCCCTGAAGTTTGTTTTTAACTTTGACAATATGAGAGGGCACATTCTCTTCTTTTTGTGTTGTAGATCCCTAGGCCTTAGAAGGAAAAACAGTTGTTATCTTTTATTGTTGGTATGTAAAACACCTGGAAATGAGGTGTTTGCTGCTGCTCCTTGGTTGCTGTGAGTCGCTTGGCGATCAGGAGCTAAATAGTACCTGTCTTAGCTATGTTGTAGAGGCCAAGTGTAGTACTCTAGTACTCAGGTGTTGGAAGTCTTACTATTATTAGCTAAAATGCAGCCTGAGGAAGCCATGTCGGCTCTGACATAGATTTACATTCTAAGATGAACAGCTCTATCAAAACAGCTCTAGTAGAATTTTACAGGTTTCATTGAAACAGTTTTGCTGAATGAAGTCACAAAAACAGTGCTAAATCTAAAGTGTTATTGTCTTGGGAGTTCCCTGGTGGCTTAGTGGTTAGGATTCCAGGCTTTCACTGCCATGGCCTGGGTTCAGTCCGTGCTCGGGGAACTGAGATCTTGCAAGCCGCACGGCCAAAAAATAAAAATAAAGTGTTATTGTCTCATTGACTATGAATCACTGGCTATGTTTTGAAGCACTACAGCACTTTGAACTATTACTGATTTACTGCAGTTGACTATTTTCTATATATGTTCCCCCACCTTCCCAATACTTCAGTGCTTTCAGGATAGTAGGATTTTCTCTTTGCTTTGAGGGGTGTGTGTGGTAGGGGCTGGGGATGTTTGGTGAGGTCATTCCCTGATCTCTGTTTAGGACGATTTTCAGGTATTATGTTTACAGTTGCTCTTGCATTAGTTATCTCTAGCCGTCTTTTTATTGAAGCAATTTTTCACAGATGTGGTTATTTTATTGCACACAAGAGTAGACTTCTCATTGATTTGTGATCATTTTAGATGAGAGGACTTGGCTGCTGGGTTGCCCTGTAACTGGGAATCATAACCTGTGGTACCTAATATTTACCACATCAAGTCGTCTATGAATATGTAGGCTTCTGAGTTTATGTTTTTCGGGCTTTTGAAAAATAATCTGAGACAAGAGGAGAGAGTCATATTAGGGGGAAAAGCTGCATTTTGGGATGTATACTTATGCTCTTATTAGGAAAATTATATTTGAAAGGATTTCATCATATAGTTATATGTCTTTCTTTTGCCTCTATCCTTTTCTCTTCTAGGGTTGTGTTCTGCTTGTAACAGTGAAAAATCATTGAGGTAAAGAGTAAAACATCCAGGTTTAGTTGCAGAAGTCTAGGATTTTCAGTTTAAATTATGGTGTGCGTGTAATTTTTTTAAAAATTAGTTTACTTATTATTTATTTTTGGTTGCGTTGGGTCTTCGTTGCTGCACGTGGGCTTTCTCTGCTTGCGGCGAGTGGGGGCCACTCTGTTGCGGTGCGCAGGCTTCTCATTGCGGTGGCTTCTCTTGTTGTGGAGCACGGGCTCTAGGCGCGCAGGCTTCAGTAGTTGTGGCACGAGGGCTCAGTAGTTGTGGCACGTGGGCTCTAGAGCGCAGGCTCAGTAGTTGTGGCTCACAGGTCCAGTTGCTCTGCAACATGTGGGATCTTCCCGGACCAGGGCTCGAACCTGTGTCCCCTGCATTGGCAGGCGGATTCTTAACCACTGTGCCACCAGGGAAGCCCCTTTGTGATTTTTTAAAAAATTACTTGTTGGATCAATCAGATTTGCTGCAGAGTTGAATTTCCATGATGGAATATGCGTGCAGTTGGAGAAGTGATTTTTTTCCCTTCATGGAGTAACCTTGGAATTTTAATTAATTCCATTTCTACATATGATAGAAATCTGTTTCACCAGGTTTGACTGAATTGAATTTCAAGGGCGAGGGAGCACCTTTTCCATTGAGAGACGAGGGCTGTAGATTATTTTCAGACTATATAAAGCTTTTTTGGGCGGGGAGGGTGGTAAAATATGAATAACAAGAATGTTACTCTAGTCTATTTCCTTGTATTTTAGAGAAACCAGAAGTGCTTTAGTGGAAACTCTCTGCTGTATTCTGTCCTAGAACACGTGGAGGCGTGTTCATAGTTCACTGTTGACATCAGTTCCTCCGTAATTATAGGAACCTGTTCGGCTCCTGCTGTTCGTTAGTCTCCTGCAGTGGCATGTGAATACTCTTAGGCAGTAGCTCCTGGCTGTTCTCCCATGTGGGGTTCTGTGACTTAGGAACTGGATGCCATTATGCCACTGTGGTAATGAGCCCCTCCTTCCCCATACTGTACTGCTTTTCAGGAGCAAGGTTGAAGGGCAGGTGGACAGGTAGGCAGACTGCCATCAGGGGACTTTTAACCCTGAAAGGCTTTCAGTTAGTACCTAGGTCCCTAGCTGTACTCAAGCCAACGAGAGATGAGGTGTACAGTCTGTGAGATTAGTGAACGAGATAACTGATGGAACTTGTTTACTTTGGGTGTGAAGCTGTTGGTTTGTTTAGACTTCTTTGGTATAATAGGCATATTGGATGGAGAAGGATACTACTTTTGGATTTGGAGGATGGCCTATATAGAGGCCTTAGATTTCATCTCCTCTCACTCTTCACCTCACCCTGTTCTAGTTACTCTGGCTTTTTCACTAGTTCTCTAACACATCAAGCTCATTACTATCTCAGGCGGTTTTCCCTTTGATGTTTGTGAATTCTTTTTGGAATGCTCTTTCCCCAGATGTTTCTAGGGCTTGGCTGTTCATGGAGAGACTTCTTTGGAGAGCCAGCCCCCAGCCCCCACCCCTCTCCTCATCTAAAAGAACACTATACCCTACTCCTGCACTCTCCCTTTATGATTCTCTTTTTTTCATTCTTTTTGTCAGTAATGGAAATGTTGAGATTGTATTTGTTTCCTTGTTTATCTTTTCCTCTAGAATATAGGCCCCAAGATTGTAGAAATTTGTCTAGTTCAGCCTCTAGAACAGGGTTTATCAACCTCAGCATTATTGACATTTTTGGACGGGAAAATTCTTTGTTGTGGGAGGTTGCCCTGTGCACTATAGAGTGTTTAGCAGCATCCTTGTTTTCTATCTCCTAGATGCCAGTAGCACCTCCTAGTCATGACAGTCAGAATGTCTCCAGACATTGCCAACTGTCTCCTGGGGGACAAAATCACCCCGCTTGGGAACCATTGTTATAGAACAATGCTTTGGCACCTAGTGGGTGCTCAATAAATGTTTATCATATGATAGATGGATTAATGAATGAATAAACTCAGCAGGTTAAGCAAGTTAAGATTTTTTGGAACACTGAAATACACATGTGTATATAGCCTTGTGTTTCTTCCTTACCTCTTTTCTTGTCTTTTCCATTTCTGGCACATTGATCCATCCTTCACTGCTTTTTTCCCTCAACTCAGGCTTGCTTGCTCTTTCAGACAATGCTACTTTTAAATTTGGTTCGGTTCAACAAGTGACAGATGAGCCCCTACTCTGTGCTGTAAAATAATAGGAAAGAACTATAGAAGGATACGGTGCTGTCTGTGCTTAAGAGCAAGCACATTGGGTAAAATGGACACAGATACATGAAATGTTCCTCTAAAGTTTCTTAGTTCAGGGTAATGTCTAAACTGGTACCAGGGCCATTATAGGGTTATTTAAGGAATAGTTGTTAAATGAAATGCTTATCAGAATGGGGTGATTGCTGTTGAATTTGGAATCCAGTTTTAACAAAAACCTACCCATTCAGGGAATTCCTTGGTGGTCCAGTGGTTAGGACTCTCACTGCCAAGGGCCTGGCTTTGATCCCTGGTCAGGGAACTAAGATCCTGCATGCCGCACGGTGTGGCCAAAAAAAACCTACCTAATCATTTTCTACTTATTTTCATTGTTGCAGTTACCCTTGGTTTCTTGCTATTGATTCTGTCAGTAACATGGTTGAGAAATATGCAAAGTGGGCTTGCTCATTTTGCACTTGTTTGATGGGAATGTTTCTAGGGTTGGTTATTTTATTGGATGGTCTTGACAGCTGATTCATCAATGGTTCTTTTTTTTTTAATATCCGTAAAACCTTTTTTTAAAAAAATATTTATTTACTTATTTATATTTATTTTGGCTGCGCCGGGTCTTAGCTGCAGCACATGGGACCTTCGTTGCGGCATGTGGACTTCTTTAGTTGTGGCATTTGGACTTCTGAGTTGCGGCATGCGGACTCCTAGTTGCGGCATGCATATGGGATCTAGTTCCCCGACCAGGGATTGAACCCAGGCCCCTTGGATTGGGAGCTTAGAGTCTTACCCACTGGACCACCAGGGAAGTCCCATCAGTGAGTTTTTAACGTCCTTGCTTGGAAAATCTTGCCACCTCTATCCTCCTGGTATGAAAATACACCAAACAAAAACCCCATTGTCTGTTATGTGACTTTTCTTTGTCCTAGAGCAACTGATTTTTCTCTTTCTGCTGAATATTTATGTTCCATCTCTCATACTGTTAGAGAGGTGTTTTGTTTGTTTGTTTGTTTGTTTTGAACTATGGGATCAGAAGAATTGCATTGGGGGAACATTTGGAACCTTTTCCTCTTGAAGACACAACTGTCTTCTCTTTAGATTATCTGGAGACAGAGTAGACAGAGCTAAATGGTCTTTCAGTGAGAATCTTGAAATGTCTCTTTTAGCTGTCTCTCTGTTCCTTTATATTACAAAGTAGTTTAATAGGATATTAAAGAATTGAACATGTATTTAACAAAGGAGAGATAATTTTCTTGTTGACATCCCAAATTCCTATCCATATGACTGAGTCTTGTAAGGTAGAACTAAGGCCCTTGAGACTTTGCTGAGGGAGACAGCCTACTTAAAAATGTTCAAGGTCAGGTGTTTTTTCTGTTTTTTTTTTTCCCCTGTGGGATTTTGTTGGGTACTTTGGTACAAAAACTGTAATTTACTCTGTAATCAAAGCTGAGATCAAAGGAGAGTGCTGTTACCTGAGGTCACTCAGCATGAAAGTGGATGTCGTTAAGATTTAGATTTAAAATAAAAATTTTTTTCTTTGTAAAATAACTTGGTATTGAAACCTGAGTTTTATAACAGCAGAATACCATTTGAGTAAAGCCCTCAAATTGTAGTGGTAACTGGAATACCTCTTAGATCTTTTTAAATATATGATAAAAAGCAGCAACTAAATTGGATTCTTCATTTATCAAATGTAAAAGGAAGTAGTTTCTGTCTTTGTCCTCAGGAGGTTTCCTGCTCCTAAAGTGTACGAATATTTGGAAATTGAATAGAAAAATAGGTTTTGTCTTCTGAGGAATAGAAGAAAGCACTTTTTAAAAGTGCATTGCTTGAGTTTTATGGAGACTTACCTCTGAATTTTGTGATAAATTTGATATTAAGAAGACTTGAAATAATGCTCTCTGATCTTTATTTCAGAGAAACTGACTCCTGAGGATGTGAAAAGCTATCATGGTTTTTAAGTGGAAAGGCTTAAGAAGGGAATGAGAATTTTTCTGAAAATCAGGGACTCTGAAGAACACAGATGGTGAGGTTTGTAGTTCTAATTTAATAGATCAGAAAGGAAAGACTTAATTCCGTGATGAACCCTCTTTTTTCCTTTTTTTAGTTTAATCTCAGGTTTAACTTCAGGAATGTTAGATTCTTTTTTTAAAAAGTAAATTTATTTATTTTATTTATTTTTATTTTTGGCTGTGTTGGGTCTTCGTTGCTGTGCATGGGCTTCTAGTTGCGGTGATCGGGGGCTACTCTTCATTGCAGTGTGCGGGTTTCTCATTGTGGTGGCTTCTCTTGTTGCAGAGTATGGGCTCTAGGTGCGTGGGCTTCAGTAGTTGTGGCACATGGGCTCAGTAGTTGTGGCTCGCGGGCTCTAGAGCGCAGGCTCAGTAGTTGTGGCGCACGGGCTTAGTTGCTCTGCGGCATGTGGGATCTTCCTGGACCAGGGCTTGAACCCGTGTCCCCTGCATTGGCAGGTGGATTCTTAACTACTGTGCCACCAAGGAAGCCCGCTTCATTTGTTCTCAACTGAAAGCAGTTCTCAAAGCAGACCCTCTGCATTGGGTTAGTGCTTGTAGTGTCGATCCTGAATTGGTTTGAATAAAGCTTCTTTAGGGAATCTTCAGGGCAAGGAAAGTTGTGTTAATTTAAATTTATATAAATTGGGCTTCCCTGGTGGCGCAGTGGTTGAGAGTCCGCCTGCCGATGCAGGGCACGCGGGTTTGTGCCCCGGTCCGGGAAGATCCCACATGCCGCGGAGCGGCTGGGCCCACGAGCCATGGCCACTGGGCCTGTGCGTCCAGAGCCTGTGCTCCGCAATGGGAGAGGCCACAACAGTGAGAGCCCCGCGTACCGCAAAAAAAAAAAAAATTATATAAATTGGTTTGCTCTTGGAAAATATAGAGATCTGTTTGTATTCCATCCCTAAGATAGGAATTTGGAGTGGGTTAAGTTTTCATTTAGGAAAAATAGTAGAAAATTGCTAAACCCAACCAACTTGCAGTGGAGATTTTTTTCATGGTGATTGGTGAAATAGAAAGGGATCAGGAGACCTGAGTTTGAGTCCTAACTCTGCAGTTTACTCCTGAGTGATCTGGGGGGTCGCGCTTAGCTCAGTCAGTCTGCCTCTCTCCCTAGTGTGCATACATGTAACCCCACTCCTCGAGCTTCAGAGTCCTCACCTGTAAAATGGGAGTGATAATACTCTACTGTAGTGTATCATTGTTTGCTCAGTGTCCCTGGTAGGAGGGTGTCATGCCTGCAGTCTTTGTGGAGACAGAAGAAAAGTTGAAAGCCACTGCTGGTAGTCAACCATGGTGCTGGTAGTGATTTTTTTTTTTTTTTTTTTTGGCCATGCTGCATGGCTTGCAGGATCTCAGTTCCCTGATCAGGGATTGAAGCTGGGCCACAGCAGTGAAAGCCCAGAATATCCTAATCACTAGGACACCAGGGAACTCCCAAAAGTGATTTTTTTTTTCTTTTTCTTTGTGGTATGCGGGCCTCTCACCACCGCGGCCTCTCCCGTTGCGGAGCACAGGCTCCGGACGCGCAGGCCCAGCAGCCATGGCTCACGGGTCCAGCTGCTCCGCGGCATGTGGGATCTTCCCGGACCGGGGCATGAACCCATGTCCCCTGCATCGGCAGGTGGACTCTCAACCACTGCGCCACCAGGGAAGCCCCTGAGCCTATTTTAAGAAGGCATCTTTAACTGCATAATGTATTAGTGGCCTTCTGCAGTGGGTGACTTTAAAAAAAGATTTGCCTTGCTAGAGAACTACTGCTTTGCCTAATAAATGACTCTAACTGTCAGACTTAAGTTTGTCCCTTTAGGTCATTTCTTACTCCGTAGCATGTAGATTGGATCAACTGTGGATCTGGAAAGAACTAGGGACTTGTCTGAATCTCTTTTCCGGGTCATTCTAGGAGACCATTTCAACTGTGGCAGTGGCCAAAGTAGGTAGAACTGGAAACCCAGAAAAGGTGGGAACTGAGGTGACTGGAATTAGTTAAAAATGTTTGTTTCTGAATAAACTACTATTTTCCTTATTCTTGGGCTGCTAGCTTTATGACTGCTATGGGGACTTGAGTGGAATGGTCATAGTGAACCCAGAAAATTTAATAGAAGAAAGGTTTTTTCTTCTTCTCCACGTGTTTCTTTCACTTTAACACCCCCCACGCCCCGAGATAGATGTTCTGCTTATGAGGATTTACTATTTTGATCAATTTTTCAAGCCTAGTATGTTAGATTCCTGGCAAAGAAAGACTAGACTTAATTTTGAAACCAGAAATGAGAAGGTATTTCCCTTAGAGGGGAGTCAACTGCTCGTTCCTTGAAGTGAGTTCAGACATCATTCCCTGTGGGAACCACTTAGCCAAAGTACTGTCCAGTTCTTTGTGATTGGAGCAAAAAGCTCTGTTGGGCAGCCAACCTAGAGTGGCATTCCACTGTAAGGAGTTGGGATTTTGAAGATGTTAACGGTCATGTTTTTGATCAAATTTACTACCTACAAAGGTTCTTGGTTTTATAGAACCTTTGGAATATTTGCCCTTTTATCATTCTCAGGGCATTGAGAGAAGTGTTTAAGTGGTTACTTCTTTATTCACAGAGAGATTTTGATCACCCTTGTAAAGAGTTTAGAACCAAACCTCTGCAATTATTTGGCTTTGACTTTTGAGGGTTCAAGAAGTAGGATTTCATTGGGGTGACTTTTGGGGGGTATTGTTCTTGAGTTTTAGTTTTATCTTTGCCCCCTACTTCAATGTCTTATGAAGACTAAAGTTCCCTGGCTTTAGTCTCATTTGTGAAATGAGGATCACTTACAGACTGTAATAAGGAGACAACTGTATACTTTTTGAGTGTTAAATATTAAGCCACTGATAACTGGATAAATTCTCATGTGGTATTTACGCTCTTATCAGATTCCAGTGATGTGACTATACCAGGGGTCAGTAAACTGTGGTCCATGAGTCAGATCTGGTCCATGGTCTGTTTTGTATGGCTCAATGACTAAGAATGGTTTTTACAACTTTCCTTAATAAGTTTATTTATTTATTTTTATTTTATTTATTTATTTTTGGCTGCATTGGGTCTTCGTTACTGCACATGGGCTTACTCTAGTCGTGGTGAGCAGGAGTTGCTCTTTGTTGCGGTGTGCGGGCTTCTCATTGCGGTGGCTTTGTTGTGGAGTTTGGGCTGTAGGCACACTGGCTTCTGTAGTTGTGGTGCACGGGCTTCAGTAGTTGTGGCGCATGGGCTCAGTAGTTGTGGCTCGCGGGCTCTAGAGCACAGGCTCAGTAGTTGTGGTGCACGGGCTTTGTTGCTCCATGGCATGTGGGATCTTCCTGGACCAGGGATCGAACGCGTGTCCCCTGCATTGGCAGGGCGAATTCTTAACCACTGCGCCACCAGGGAAGTCCCAGTTTTTACTTTTTTTTTTTTTTTTTTTTTGCAGTATGCGGGCCTCTCACTGTTGTGGCCTCTCCCGTTGCGGAGCACAGGCTCCGGACGCGCAGGCTCAGCGGCCATGGCTCACGGACCCAGCCGCTCCGCGGCATGTGGGATCTTTCTGGACCGGGGCACGAACCCGTGTCCCCTGCATCGGCAGGCGGACTCTCAACCACTGCGCCACCAGGGAAGCCCCGCGGTTTTTACATTTTTTAAATGTAAAATTCAAGAGAATGAGAACACAAGCCACAGAGTAAGAGAAAATATTTGCAAAAGATACATCTGATAAAGGACTGTTATCTAAAATGTACAAAGAACTCTTAAAACTCAACAATGAGAAAACAAACAACCCGATTAAAAAGTGGGCAAAAGACCTGAACACGCACCTCACCAAAGAAGATACATAGGGACATCCCTGGTGGTCCAGTGGTTAAGACTCTGCGCTCCCAATGCAGAGGGCCCGGGTTCGATCCCTGTTCGGGGAATTAAGATCCCACGTGCCGCAACTAAGCCTGTGTGCCTCAGTGCAGCCAAAATAAATAAATAAATTAATTTCAAAAAAAGAAGATATATAGATGGCAAGTCAGCATATGAAGATGTTCCAACATCATATGTCATTTAGGAATTGCAAATTAAAACAGCAGGATACTGCTACGCACATTGGAATGACCGAAATCCAGAAGGCTGGCGAGGATGTGGAGTAATAGGAGCTCTCATTCATTGCTGGTGAGAATGTGAATTGGAACAGCCATTGCGGAAGGTATTTTGGCAGTTTATTACAGAACATACTCTTACCATATGATCCATCAGTCATGCTCCTTGATGTTTTACCCAAATGAGTCAAAAACTTATGTCCTCACAAAAACCTGCACAAGGATGTTTATATCAGCGTTATTCATAATTGCTAAAACTTGGAAGCATCCCAGATGTCCTTCAGGAGGTGAATGGATAAACAAACTGTGGTACATCCAGACAGTGGAATGTTATTCAGTGCTAAAAAGAAATGAGCTATCAAGCCATGAAAAGACATGGAGGAAACTTAAATGCATATTACCAAGTGAAAGAAGCCAATCAGAAAGGGGTACTGTATGATTCCAACTATACAGCATTCTGGAAAAGGCAAAACTATGAAGACATTAAAAAGCTCAGTGGTTGGGCTTCCCTGGTGGCACAGTGGTTGAGAGTCCGCCTGCCGATGCAGGGGACACGGGTTCGTGCACCGGTCCGGGAAGATCCCACATGCCACCGAGCGGCTGGGTCCGTGAGCCATGGCCGCTGATCCTGCACGTCTGGAGCCTGTGCTCCGCAACGGGAGAGGCCACAACAGTGAGAGGCCCGTGTACACCCCCCCAAAAAAAAAAAACAAAAACTCAGTGGTTGCCAGGGGTTCAGGGGTGGGGGGCAGGGAGAGATGAACAGATACAGTATAAGAGATTTTTAGGACAGTGAAACGATTCTATATGATACGACATTGGTGGAGAGTTGTCATTATACATTTGTCCAAACCCATGGAACGTACAACACCAAGAGTGAACCCTAATGTAAACTATGGATTTCGGGTGATAACGAGGTGTCAGTGTAGGTTCATCAATTGTGACAAATGTATCACTGCAGGGTATAGATAGTGGGGGACTCTGTGTGTGTGGTGGGGGACAGGGGTTTTAGGGGAACTCTGTACTTTCTGCTCAGTTTTGCTGTGAACCTAAAACTGCTCTAAGAAATAAAGTTTATTAATTTAAAAGGTTGTCAAAACAAAACAGAAGGATAATGTGCGACAGAGACCATATGTGGTTTACAAAGCCTAAGGTATTTTTTTATCTGGCCTTTTACAGAAAAGATTTACCGAGCCCTGGACTAGATCACAGTGCGACTAGGAGATGAGTGCCTAGTTTCTCCCTGGTGTCATGCTCAGTCCTCTGGTTCTCCGGGTACTCAGTGTGTCTCATGGCAAAGTTGTTCTCACGAATTTATTTCTGTTTCACTTGCAGGTATATGAGTGACCTAAAGCTGCAGATTAAAAAGGAAAGAGAGCAGTGCCAACTGCAAACAGGGCAAGGATGCCAATTCCTCCTCCCCCTCCACCACCCCCTGGTCCTCCTCCACCTCCCACTTCTAATCAGGTAGGTAGTCCATCCACCTGGCTATCTCAAGACCTGAATGGATACTTAGGGCTTCCTGCTATGAGACATAGTGTACTCAAAGACATGGGGTGTAGGAAGATGGAGAATAAATAAGTAAAGTCTGTCTTCCTCAATTCGTTCTGATTCCTGAGAAGTCCTCTTAGGACCATAATGGCTTGTCTTGGTTTTTTTATCCTGGTTCAGTCTAAATGGAGATTTGGGCAGGTGGCATCAGAGTAGGAACTAGTGTGTCTTCCCTAAAACTATTGTAGGATAAAGGTCAATGTGTCCTTTTTCTGCATCTTTGAGAAAAGGGATGGCAATTCCTAGTTGTTGTTTCTTGCTGCCATTTCATTTCCTTCTCTTCTACTCCAAATCAGTTCACTTTAAAGTCAAGTCCATCAGGTCTAAATGCCCCCATGCCCCATATCAAGAAAGAAAGGAGTTAATGGAATTAGGAAGAAGACTAAAGGTTCAGTAATGGGAAGAAAAAAAAGCAATGTGGCTTCTGAACCAAGGACACAGCCACTTTTACTATATCTGAGTTGTGATACCTGGAGTCACATGAGAAAGAAGGAAGGAACCTGGATGCTTCATCTCGTGTGTGTGTGTGTGTGTGTGTGTGTGTGTGTGTGTGTGTGTGTGTTGGGTGTTTAACAGATGAGAAATTGTGCCCTGAAAGAGGAAAGGTGACTTAACCTAGCTAATTTGTTTCAGAACTAGGACAACAGTTCAGGTCTGCCAACTTCTGGGTTTTTTCCTGTAATTTTTGGGGTGTGGTGAGAGCTGAGGCTGGAGGTGTAGGTGGGGGGTTTGGAGTTTTCTCTTGGTCATGATGGGGAGATGCTGAAGTCTCTTCAGCAGCAGAAGGAACCTGCTTGGGTTTATATTAGGAAAATTACTCTTCACAGTGTGGACGGTAGGTTGGGAGTTGAGACTACAGACAGGGAGGTTGAGACTGGAGACAGAAGCCTGTGGCAATTGAAAATGAGAGTCTGGACTAAAGCAGTGAGGATGGAGAGTGGAGACAAGAGACAATGACAAAGTAAAATCTTAAGAGTCTGATGACAGATGGAAGAGTGAAGAAGAGGAAGGAGATTTGAATGACTCTAGTTGGGGGATTGATTTTTTTAATTTTTGTTTATTTATTTATTTTTTGTGGTACGCGGGCCTCTCACTGTCGCGGCCTCTCCCGTTGCGGAGCACAGGCTCCGGACGCACAGGCTCAGTGGCCATGGCTCACGGGCCTAGCCGCTCCGCGGCATGTGGGATCTTCCTGGACCGAGGCACGAACCCGTATCCCCTGCGTCGGCAGGCGGACTCTCAACCACTGTGCCACCAGGGAAGCCCTGGGGGATTGATTGAATGCTGGTGCTATTTACAAGAGAAACAGGTTTGTGGAGGAGGATATGAGCTCAATTTTGGACATGCTTAGTAATATTTTTCTCTTTACAAAAGTAATATGTTCAAGAAATTTATGAACTGTGGTTAAGCAAAAAGGAGCAGTTACCCATAATCCAACCATTCATAACAGTTTTGTGTCTAGCCTTCCCCTCCCTCCTTCTTCCTTTTGTATCTGTCTACCTTTTTAAAAATTATTTATTTATTTATTTATTTATTTATTTTTGGCTGCATTGGGTCTTTGTTGCTGCACACGGGCTTTCTTTAGTTGCAGTGAGCGGGGGCTACTCTTCGTTGCGGTGCGCAGGCTTCTCATTTTGGTGGCTTCTCTTGTTGTGGAGCATGGGCTCTAGGCACGTGGGCTTCAGTAACTGTGGCGCGTGGGCTCAGTAGTTGTGGTTCGCGGGCTCTAGAATGCAGTCTCAGTAGTGTGGTGCACGGGCTTAGTTGCTCCGCAGCATGTGGGATCTTCCCAGACCAGGACTCGAACCCGTGACCCCTGCATTGGCAGGCGGGTTCCTGACCACTGCGCCACCAGGGAAGCCCGTCTACCTTTTTTTTTAAAAAAAGGCTGTGCTTTATATACATACTGATTTCTGATTGGCTCTTCTTCCTCATTAATACATCATGAATGGCTTGTCATGTCATTAAATGTTTAGTGATATCATTAAAAAATTCTTTACTAAAAATCCAGAAAAAACTAGAGAACACCAATAAACATAGAAAATGTTAATCTATAATTAACCTTTGTTAACATTTTGTATGTTTATTGTAGGAAAACTAGAAAATACAGATAAACATAAATAATTATTACCCCAGATTAACTTTTGCTAGTATCAGTGTATATCCTTCTAGAAATTTTCTGTATGTGTGTACCTTTTTATTCTTCACAATATAAGCTAGCTGCTACTTATTGAACTCTTACTATACACCAGGCACTGTGCTAAGCTCTTAAAAAGTGTTATCATTTAATTCTCAAAACTACCCTATGAGATAGGTCCTGTTATGACTCCTGTAGAAAACTGGAATCATGCTATATGTATTGTTCTATAATATTTTTTGCTTGATTGTGTCAGATATTTATTTCCATGAAAAGATGCTTACTTCTACATCCTTTAAGAGCTTAACTGGCATCCCACTGTATGATTATACCATTGTTGTTCTTTTCGGTTGAACTTTTAGATTACTTCCGCTTTATGCTATTATAAACTGTTTTTTGCTATTATTATCGTCTTTGTGCACGTCTCCAATTATTTTCTTAAAGTTAATTTCTGGAAGTAGAATTCTTGTGCTAGACTTTTACAAGGTGTTTGATACATAAATTACTTTCTAGAAAAATCATACCAATCAATCCTACCACAGGTAGTAGAAAAGAGTACCTGTTTTCCTGGATCCTTAAGATCACCATGGGGCAGCTTTTTATTCTATACATTGTTTTGAACATCTTCAGTGTGCCAGGCACTGTACAGGCAGTGGTCCCTGCCTTCACAAAGCTAGCAGTCTCTTTGTAATTTTAACCTTTACCAGTATCATAGGTAGATAATGATAGTTTTACACTACATTTTTTTTTATTATAGTTGTTTTTTTTCCATATTTGTTGGCTCTTTTGACTTCTTTTATGCAGTGTTGTTCATATCTTTTGCTTATTATCCTACTGATTTCTAAGTCATCTTTATATGTTAACGCTCTATAGATTTGGGCCACTACCTTTATTTCTATCATATGTTAACATTTGTCACCGACAATTTTTCTTCCAGTGTGTCATCTGCTTATTTACTTATATTCCTAAGTAAATAATTTGAAATAAGCAAATCTGTCGATCTTTTCCTGTATTTTGATTATCTTGATTAGAAAGTCCTTCCCATTACCTATATTTTTGCATATAGCACTTCTGTGGTTTTATTTTTTTACACTTAAATTTTATAATTCAGCTAGAATTTATTTGAGAGTAAAGTGCTAAGGTAGGTATTTAACTTTATTATTTTTTTCTAAAAATTAACCACTTGTCGGACTTCCCTGGTGGTCCAGTGGTTAAGACTCCACGCTTCCGCTGCAGGGGGTGTGTGTGCGATCCCTGGTTGGGGAACTAAGATCCTACATGCCGCCTGGCATGGCCAAAAAAATTAACCACTTGTTATTAACACCTTGTATTTAATAATCTATCCTTTCTGCACTGAAGAAATATACTTTTATTATTTCTGTATAGACCTGGGCCTGCTTTATGGACTTCCTGTTTTGTTCCAGTTATCTAGCTGTCTGTCCCTATGCTCCTGTTGTTGTTGGTCATAGGAATATTTCAGGATTTAAACAAGATAATGAAAGTAATGTGCTTATTATTAGCACAATGCCTGGGATATAGTGGGGGCTCAATAAACGTTTGCCTTGGTGGTGATGATACAAATAAAGTGTCCGGCACACAAGCCTAGCACATAGGTGCTCAGTAAGTATTGGTGCAGGCCTCCTGTCAGAAGCTTCTAAACAGGAGGAAGACCTATATCCTTCACAGAAGGTACAGCATGAGAGAAAGGTCTAAGGAGGAGGATAATGGACATTGATACTGTCGTTCGGCACATGTATCTTATTAGGTTAGACAGGCATCTCGTGGAATCCAGTTTGGCTTAAGGCATTTATCCTGAGCTTGTGATGAAGGGGATATTGAGGGTGAACTTATGTTTCCCTCTTCCTTCAGGCCAACACTGAGCTGCCCAAGCTGAGTAGAGATGAGCAGCGTGGTCGAGGTGCTCTCTTACAGGACATCTGCAAAGGGACCCGGCTGAAGAAGGTGACCAACGTTAATGATCGGAGCGCTCCCCTCCTCGAGAGTGAGTCTAAGCTTCATCTCCTAATGAACCACCGGGATCCCAGGATTGACTCGGGGACTAGGCTTGGCTGTCATTTTTATTGTTGGGTCGTGAGTGGGAGAGTTTTGTCTTGGCATGTTCTTTGGCTGTCTTCTCATCTGTTCGTTTGAATACCTTAGAAATTGCTTTTTGACCTTTGAGAAGCATTCTCGGGGTCTTAAGCCTCCCATCTCCTACTATAACTAGTGCTTGTTAGGGCATATCCTTGGCTTTTCTCTGACAAGACCACCACAGTCCTAAAAACCTGTAAGCTGAAGCCAACGATGATTTTATAATTGCTACAAGTGTTCATTCTGAAAGGCCTCTGGGGGTTTTCTCACAGCTGGGTCCCTGAGCCATTAAGCCCCCTCACCATCTGGGACTTGGAGAGGAAAGCCTAGAGAACTCTGTTGAACAGGTCTTCATCCTGGTTACCACGCTGCCCTAAATAAAGGAAGATTGGCTCCTCGTTCCTTTTGTTTTCTCTCTTTCATCACAGCACAGAGTTTCATCCCCACACCTACATGAAGCTGTGGAGCAGAGAAGCCCAGCTTTCTATTTCAGTGGAAAGGCAAAAGCAATATCGGTTTGTTTGCAAATTAAAGCCCAGGTAGAGGAGGGGTTTCTCCTCAGGATTGACTTGGTCACCAGCCTCAGAGCATATGAAATGAAAATCCTAATGGTGTGCTTTCCAGAACCCAAAGGAAGCAGTGGTGGTTATGGCTCTGGAGCAGCTGCCCTGCAGCCCAAGGGAGGTCTCTTCCAAGGAGGAGTGCCCAAGCTCCGCCCTGTGGGAGCCAAGGACGGTTCAGGTATGTGATAAGTACTTTCTTAGGATATTTCCCAAGCGTGTTCGTTTCTGACTGGTCCCAGGTGGGCCCTCTGGGGTTGAGGAGTGTGGTAGAGATGGGAAGAAGGAGTGGGGGCAGGGCAGGGGTTATAAAGTAGAATAAAGCAAAAGCTGAGGGTAAATAAGAATGCATTCAACTTGCATCAGTAGTGTTTGTTAATGGGCCCTGAGCCTGAAACCAGGTTAAAACCCAGAATCATATAGGTATTTGCCCTGCTGCCATGCAGGTTGCACTAAGGAGGCGGGGTGACGTGGAGATACCCAGCAACATAGGTCCAGCTCTGTTGACCCAGTGCTGTCTGGTGTATTTGTAGAGAACCTAGCTGGCAAGCCAGCCCTACAAGTCCCCAGTTCTCGAGCTGCTGCCCCAAGGCCTCCGGGGTCTACAGCCAGCGGGCGCCCTCAGGATGATACAGACAGCAACCGAGCCTCACTCCCAGAACTGCCCCGGATGCAGAGACCCTCGTTACCGGACCTCTCTCGGCCTAATACCACCAGCAATACGGGCATGAAGCACAGCTCCTCCGCCCCTCCTCCGCCTCCCCCGGGGCGGCGTGCCAACGCCCCCCCTACGCCTCTGCCTGTGCACAGCAGCAAAGCCGCAGCCTACAACAGAGAGAAGCCCCTGCCACCCACACCTGGACAGCGGCTTCACCTTGGTCGAGAGGGACCTCCCGCTCCACCCCCAGTCAAGCCGCCTCCTTCCCCTGTGAATGTCAGAACAGGACCAGGTGGCCAGTCTCCAGCTCCTCCGCCTCCGCCTTACCGCCAGCCTCCCGGGGTCCCCAATGGACCCTCCAGTCCCACTAACGAGTCAGCCCCTGAGCTGCCACAGAGACACAATTCTTTGCATAGGAAGACACCAGGGCCTGTCAGAGGCCTAGCGCCTCCTCCACCCACCTCAGCCTCCCCTTCTTTACAGAGTAATAGGCCACCTCCCCCAGCCCGAGACCCTCCCAGTCGGGGAGCAGGTAAGTGCCTGGAAGCACCTGATTTTTCCTACCATACTGAGATTGAGTTTATCCTTCCTCTTCACCCTTTTCCCCAAAGCTCTCCTTCAGTGATTGAAGTGAATACTCATTCAACAGGTTTATTGAGTGCCTCTTTACGTGTCAGACCCTGTTGTTAGGAAAACAGCAGTAAATAAAAAAGACAAAAAATCCTGTTCTCCTGGACAGTTAACAAATTAATTAGAAAAATATATATATATATAAAAATACATAGTATATAGATGCTATAGAAAAATACAAAGCAGAGAAAGGGAATGGGATATACTGGAGTGGGGATGAGGTAGTATTTTAAATTATAGGGGTGAGGGTAGAGGTGGGGTCAGGGAAGGCCTTACTGATAAAGTGACAGTGTGGCAAATACCTGAAGGAAGTGAGGGAGTACGCTACGCAGGCATTGAGGGCAGCAAATGCAAAGACCCTGAGACTGGGGACAGCAAGGAGACCATTGTGGCAAGACCAGGATGTGTGAGGGGGAGAGCGGCAGGATGTGTGAGGGGGAGAGCGGCAGGATGTGGAGGTCAGAAAGCCAGATACCACGGGAGGACACCGGAGGACTTTGTGAAAACTTTGGGTTTTACTCTGTGTGAGATGGGGAGCCACTGGCGCGGCACCGGGGCTTGGAACACAGAAGTAGCTTTGATTTACCTTTTGAAAAGGCAACTGGCTCTGTTGTTGAGAACCCACCGCAGGAGGACAAAGGGACCAAAGGAGACCACTTAGGGGGCTAGTGCAATAATCTGAGTAGATGGATAGGATCACAGCAGGTTTGGGGAAAGGTGGGTGTTCAGTTTTGGATGTCAAGTTTGAGGTGCCTGTTAGACATACAAGAGGAAATAGCCAATTGTCGATTGACTCTCAGACTTTGAAGTTCAGGGGAGTGGTCTGGGCTAGAGAGAGAAATTTGAAGGATATTGAGAACCACATGCTGGGGTGAGATCACCTGGGGCGTGAGTATAGAGAAGAGGAGAGGTCCGAGACCTGAGGCCTTCCTACATTGACAGGTGAGAGTGATAAGAGTACTAAGCAGAGAAAACTGAGAAAGAGCCTCTAGTGAGGAAGAAAGGAGGAATGCCAAGAGGGTAATGGAGAAAGCCCAGGATAGAGTGAGTGAGCGGCTGTGGCCTGTGCTGCAGGTGGGTCAGGTAAGTTGAAGACTGAGCATGACGTTGGTCTCAGCAACGTGGGAGTCAAATTGGGGACCCCCAAACTACCCTTCTAAGTAGTTTCAGTGGAGTGCTGGAGGGAGCGTGAGGGTGAAAGTCTAATTGGGGTGGGTTCAAGCATGCCGGAATAGGAGAGGACTTGATGAAGATAGCAATAGAGAAACTCTAGGGAGTTTGCTGTAAAGGGGAGTGGGGGGTACAGGTATGTGGAATGGTTGCTGGAGGAGGATGAGAGATTGAGGGTTGGTTCCCCCCGCCCCACCCCACCCAAGACGGGAGATATTTCAGCATCTGTTCGTGCGCTGATGGAATGATCCAGTAGAGAGGAGGAAATTGCCTGGATAGTGTCCTTGGGGAGGCAAGAAGGAATGGAACCTGATCCACAGGTCAAGGGCTGGCCTTAGAGAAGAGCACAGTTCTTTGTGGTAACAGGAGGGAAGGCAGAGGATATAGGCAAAGAAGCAAGTAGGTAGGTGGGTATAGTGGTAGGAGCATGTGGAAAGTTTCTTCTAAAACTTTTTTAAAATAAATGTATTTATTTATTTATTTATGGCTGCGTTGGGTCTTCATTGCTGCGCACGGGCTTTTCTCTAGTTGCATGGAGCGGGGTCTACTGTTCCTTGTGGTGTGCGGGCTTCTCATTGCAGTGGCTTCTCTTGTTGCGGAGCACGGGCTCTAGGCACGTGGGCTTCAGTAGTTGTGGCACACAGGCTCAGTAGTTGTGGCTCGCAGGCTCTAGAGCGCAGGCTCAGTAGTTGTGGCGCATGGGCTTAGTTGCTTCGCAGCATGTGGAATCTTCCCAGCCTGGGGCTTGAACTCGTGTCCCCTGCATTGGCAGGCAGATTCTTAACCACTGTGCCACCAGGGAAGCCCTTTTTTTTTCTTTTGCTTCTATATTCTGGGTGAAATTGAAAGCAAGAACATATGCTGCGAATGAGGGTAAGGAAATAGAGGGAGATTTGAGGAGAGAGGAAAGAGGGCACAAAATGGCCATCTGGGCATGCAGGAGAATGAGTGGAGGAGAGAAGTGTGCTAGGATGACCAGCATCACGGAAGGCCCGCTCGAGCTTAGGGGCCACACATTTCAAGTGAGATTCATCAGCGCGGTGTGTGTTCAGCTGTGCTTCTGCAGGTACTGAGTTGGAGCAGAGTTGTATTTAACCAGGTTAGTGGTTTTTAGGCATGTGCGACTGTAATGGAGAGCAGGGCAAGGGAGTTAAGGGTGTGTGTAAGGGAGTGCTTGTAACAAGGGACCATGGTCCTGAACTGGGTAAGGAGGGGATTAAGGAACCTTCAAAAAGGTGGGAGAGGTTGTGTCATCTTACAAAATAGCCTGACTGAAAGTAGAGAGGGAATGAGACCATGCTGGGGCCTTCTCAGACCTAGGAATTTTGGCTCCTGTATTCTCTTGTTTCATTGGGCTTTGAGCCGCAGCCTCCACAAATGGCTTTTGAACTTTGATTTTAAACAGTCCCTGCAGGTATAGATGAGATCATCGATTAAGCAGGTGTGTCATCAGGAAGTATGTATTAAAGGCCCATTAACTGGTACTGCTGCTTGATTAGGTACAGAGACATGTATTCTAGGAGCTGGCAGTAGCATCAGGCGGTCACACAGGAGCCTGGTACATGGCCGACCCTGTATCTCCCTGGCTTCAGCCATAAGGATATAGTCCTTACGTGACCTTTGACTCTACAAAGTTTAGGTTAAAAAGAAAATTTTTTTTTAACTTAGGGATATTTTTAAAATGACCCTTTATCTGAGCAGAGCCCATATCTTTCTGAAGCCAACCAGGAATAGAAGCAGAGAAAAATGTAATTTCTGTGGGTTGAACTGAGTTGTTTTAAATGTCTGCAGACTTCTTGCTTCCCACTTCTCAGTTCTTTTTTTGTGATTTCTTTAGAAAAATGTGAAGTTATGAGCCTTGTTCTTCTGTCTACTAGCCATCACCAACTTCGAGGCCTGACATAGGCCTCAGCCTGCTTTCTGTATCAGTAACCAGAGCAGCAGTTCTCAAGAGTGACACTCTGAAAAAAAATTGAGATATTTTAGTCAGAGATCTTTCGAGTATTGGCTCCACTTGTTTTGTGACATTGGGCAGATCACTCTGATTCTCTGAGTTTGTTTCCTCATCTGTAAAATGGTGTTCACAATGGTGTTCACATCTTTTCAGAGATGGTTATAAATAAAAGGATGTGTAAAAGTGCTTTATAAACTGTGGTGTGCTGACGAATTTAGCGGTTTTATGCAAAGGACTTCTAGGCAGTTTTCATGGACTTATCTCTATTAATAAATCATATGGTGTGATAACATGGGATAATTTACTTTTGTTTCTTTATGAATTATTTACATTTGAATGAGTATGTAGCCTTTTACCCTCCCCGGGGTGCTCAGAGACCAGAAAGTCCCTTATTGTCCATAGCATTTGTTTTCTGAATTTTTCCTTTGCAGAGTAAAGCACTATTTTAAAAAATATGTATTTATTTATTTATTTATTTATTTATTTTGGCTGTGCCGGGTCTTAGTTGCGGCATGAGGGATCTAGTTCCTTGACCAGAGATCAAACCCAGTCCCCCTGCATTGGGAGCACGGAGTCTTAACCACTGGACCACCAGGGAAGTCCCTAAAACACTATTTTTTTAAGGGAATTTTTTTCTTTTTAAAAGAATCGAGAATGGAGTGGGAGGTTAGATTTAGCAGATGTAAGTGATTATATATAGAATGAATAAACAACAAGGTCCTACTGTATAGCACAGGGAACTATATTCAATATCTTATGATAAACCATAATGGAAAACAATATAAAAAGAGAATATAACTGAATCACTTTGCTATATAGCAGAAAGTAGCACAACACTGTAAATCAACTATACTTCAGTTAAAATAAAAATAACATCATGCTTTCTTTAATACGGGTTTATCTTGGATTACAAAAGTCAGTCTTCCTATCCTAGGGTTTCTTTTGCACGCTGCTTGTTTCTTGGGGTCCTTGGGTTCTGGCTCTGTCATTTGAAAGTCTTGAAACTGGATGTGACAAAGAGCTCAGAAACTTCTTAGAGATGGCAGAGTCTGGTCAGGGTGGTCCCTGAGGGAGGGTGCTGAGGGAGCCAAGCAGGCAGCTCTTGGTCCTGCTCCGTTTTGCCCATCCAGGTTGGCCCTCATCACTGCCTCCTGCTCAGAGTCTAGCTGGTGTCCTTTTGAGCCTGACCGACCATCTACCTTACTCTCCCTGACCCCACCCTCGCAGTAGATGCAGACTCTCAGGGCCCTGAGAAATCTGAGTCTTAGGGAAATACTTTGAGGATGACCTGAAAGAGCTTCGGTTTGGGCAGATTTGGAATGAAAACAGGGTTCAGAGATCTGCTGGGAGGAGTTAAGGAGATTTCTCTTTAATTATGGCCTCTAATGGCCCCATCCATACTTATACAGACCTTGGAGAGTGAGGGAGAGTTGACATTCTGAGTGTGTTTTATGGGAAGCTAAAACTAACATTTACTGGGCCTACAGTGCCAGACTTCTTGTCTATAAGCATCATCCCAGGGTCTGCCCTGGTAGTCCAGCGGTTAGGACTCCACGCTCCCAGTGCAGGGGGCTCAGATTCTATCCCTGGTCAGGGAAATAGATCCCTCATGGCACAACTAAGAGTCTGCATGCCACAACTATAAGATCCCACACACCACAACGAAGATCCCTCATGCTGCAACTAAAGACCCGGTGCAGCCAAATAAATACTTAAAAAAGACAAAAACAATAACAAAATCATGCCATTACTGTTTCATTCTTAACTATGGTTACTCTATAGAAATTCTGACAGTAATTCAGGAAGAATGATATACACTCTTATTACTAAGACAGTGTTGTCTGTTAAGCCAAGTAGTCTCCATGTACTGTTTGGTAACATGGCCCAGGTACCAAAAGACACATTTTCATCTCACTGGGTTATACATTTGTTCGGGAGATATTTAATACTTGAGGTTGTTGTGAAAAGCATTGTGTAGCAGTTTTCTTACTATGGAAGAGCAGACGTATGCTGGGTCTGTTAGATCTGTGACCTTAGACAAATAGCTTGAGTCCCAGTTTCCTCATTTATGAAATGGGGATAATGCCTCATACTTGTGCAGGGGTGGCTACAAGAATTTTTAAAGATTTAATACATATAAAGTGCCCAGGACAGTGCCTGGAACATGATGGATATCAAATAAATGGTAGTTACTATTATTGTTAGTGCAGAGCATAGAAATAATCTAACTTAAACACATTCGAACCTATTCCAGTGATGTCCAGCATGCTTTTTATTTATTTATCTATTTATTTATTGGCTGCATTGGGTCTTCATTGCTGCACGCAGGATTTCTCTTAGTTGCGGCGAGCAGCGGCTACTCTTCGTTGCGGTGCTCGGGCTTCTCATCGCATGGGCTTCTGTTGTTGTGGAGCACAGGCTCTAGGCGTGCGGACTTCAGTAGTTGTGGTGCGTGAGCTCAGTAGTTGTGGCTCGTGGGCTCTAGAGCACAGGCTCAGTAGTTGTGGCACATGGGCTTAGTTGCTCCGCGGCATGTGGGATCATCCTGGACCAGGGATTGAACCTGTGTCCCCTGCATTGGCAGGCAGATTCTTAACCACTGCACCAGCAGGGAAGTCCCCCCAACATGCTTTTGACCTTACCTTATGCTTGGTGGCAAATTTTGTCTTTTAAGGGTGAATTTGATTTTCGAAAATGGCCAAAAATCAGAGCCAGACGTAGGTATGAATTTTTTTGTTGGTGGTGCAACCTCAGAAATGAGAAGTGACCATCATATGATAATATTTATGGATCTGTCTGACAACCTGGGTTTGGAGGCAATTCCAAAAGAGGTGTTCCCTATTTTTTTTGAGCAATGAGCCTATCATTGGAAATATATAACTTCTGCAGATGAAATTATTATAGATAATTTGAAAATCACTCATTTTAGTCTGTACTACTAAGTGTTAGAATAAGTGACATAGCCTGTAAATGCTGTGGGAGAGCAAAGGAGGGAATCAGGTTAGTGTGGATTGCTTTGGAAAAGCCTTGAGAAGATGGGACTTGAGTTGAACCTTAAAGAAAAGTAGGATTTGATAGTAAGGGATGAGGGGTGGTATTTCTGAGTATTGTGGGGGAGTCACAAGAGTAAAGCATATGTAATTTGGTTTATTTAGCACGTATTGATTGAAGACCTACCATGTGCTGAGCTTGGGAACTCAGATGAATGGACACTGCTCTGACTTTAAGAAATATACAGTACCCTCGGGAAGAAGCACGTGTAAAAAACATAGTAGTGGTAGAGAGAGACAGAGTCGATAGAGCAGTACAGAAGAGTGGTACCTAATCCAGTGTAGGGATCAAGGAAGAAAAGAAGGTGCAATCAGGCTGACTGATGTGGTGGGTTACTGTGTAAAAAAGGAAAATGATTGGGTGAGACCCAGTCAGTGTGGAAGCTAAGGATTTGAAACTTTATGATATGGGAAATGCAAAGCCCTTGGAAAAGTTTGAGCTAGTATTTTGGGGAGATTAGTGAGTTGGTGGTATGCAGAATGGATTGAAAGGCTAAGAGATGAGAAGCAAGGAAAACATTTGAGAGGCTTTTTGCAGTAGAACAAGATAAAAATGAGAAAGCCCTGACTTAGAATCGTGGAGGAAGGCATGCGAAAGCAGAGAAAAAAATCATCGAGGATAAGTGGAATTCTTGACTGACTTGTCTTGGGAAATGAAAAAGGGTCATAAATTTATTCTGAACTTTGGTATCGAGAAGAATGGTGATGTTGTTAAAGAAATAGGGATGAGGGGAGGGTGAATATGATATTTAACATGCTGCCCAGTGGTTCACAGGGTCTGGTTCTTTGGGAAAGCACCGAGCACTCTTTTGGCCCATGTCTCTCAAATCCCTCCGTCCATCGCCGTCTCTACATCCAAACCTAACTGCTTTGAACTTTAATTGCAGCTCCTCCACCCCCGCCACCCATGATCCGAAATGGTGCCAGGGATGCCCCCCCTCCCCCCCCACCGTACCGAATGCATGGGTCAGAACCCCTGAGCCGAGGAAGGCCCCCACCTCCACCCTCAAGGACGCCAGCTGGGCCCCCCCCACCGCCTCCACCACCCCTGAGGAATGGCCACAGAGATTCTATTACCACTGTCCGATCTTTCTTGGGTGAGTAGCTAGCTGTTTTAGTCTCATAGTTCCTGTGGTGACTTCACTAATTCCAGTGGCCGCTGCAGAGTGGGAGTGGTCACTTGGTGTCCTCTGTTCACTGCAGTTCCTCTCCTGACCTTCCCTCAGACTTCTGGGTCCATCCATGGACATCCCTTTCCGTAGGCAAATTCTAGGCACGATTCCTTTGGAATAGATGGAAGTAAGATCAGCAGGTGTTGTGCTAACTCTAAAGCCAGTCTCTTGCTCCCCAAGGCTCATTATTTGTGGTTAGCTTTTAGGTCAGAGACTGTATCCTCTTCAGGATTATTGAGACAGGAATTACGTATCCTCCTAGGAAGAAGAGCTCCTTTCTGGACCTTTGAAAACAAAACAACACTGTGTACCCAACTTTTATCTAGTAATCCAAAGCCACTGACTAGTTGTGTTACTTTGAAGAAGTCACTTCATTTTTTTGGACCTCACTTCCCTTATCTATGAAACAAGGAGACTGACTAGCTCAAGAGTGTATTGGATTAACTTTTCCAAGGCTATAAATGAATCTTAGACTCTACCTAAGAGATTCTAATTCATTAGGTCTGGGATGGAGCACCAAGTAAAGATTGTCCATCAGGTATTGTTAGACCCTCTGTTGAGGAAGTCTGGAAAGATCTGCACAGTCCCTTGTAGCCTGAACACTGTAGATTCTTTAATGGCTGACTCTTCTCTGGCCCTGCTCTAGTCTGTTCCTGTTAAGTGGACCAGTATTTTTGCTTGGAGGATATGCCCTTTGGAATGTGATCGAGCCACACCCATAGAACATTTGAGCCTTCTTGTAGAGGGGCCATGGAAAGTGGGAGTGGGAGCCATGACATGGCCATCCCGACTGTGTTGCAGAGCTCAATGAGGGGAGCCTGGGCCAAAAGGGAATTTTCTGGTCAGATCGTTCCCTAGCTGGTGGCATATAGTCCCATTTTAGATTAATTTCTGCCAATTTGTGGATTTAGTTCAGTTGGTTTCCCATGGTGATAGTCTCTAACATGACTATGTTACTGAAAGACAGAACTATATTTCCTTCTCCTGCCATGCAAACAGCTGGGCTCCTTTCCTGGTATGTGCCTGGTTTGGGGTGGAAAGATTTAAAGAACCAGTTCAAAGACTCATTCCTTAACGTAAAGAGCCTTTGAACACACTGTGCGTACGAGGTGCAGAGAGTAATGCTGTTGCTGCCCTCACGAACCTTGCTTCAGTGGGCAAGGCAGGCCCTCATGGTACATCAGGAAGCCCGGGAGACTGGTATGGGGAGAGTCGGAAGTGGCAGAGGGGTGAGTGGGAGCACGAGGAGGGGGTATGAATTAATATTGTTCCTTTTGCAGATGACTTTGAGTCGAAGTATTCTTTCCACCCAGTAGAAGACTTTCCTGCTCCAGAAGAGTATAAACACTTTCAGAGAATATATCCCAGCAAAACAAACCGAGGTGAGAGAAGAGAATCATGGAAGGTCTTCCATAATTGCATAGGCTGTAGAATCGGTGCGTGCTTTTCTTAGCTTAAAATTTGCTTCTCCTTGTCTGCATTTTCTTAAACAGACAACGAAGCCTTGTCCCAGATTGTAAAGGTTAGCTTGAAGAGCCTGTCTGTCTCTCATTTTAGGAATGTTTGAGTTATTCAGGGTGTGGTGGGTGACCTTGCGTATGTGGTTTTTATTTATTTTTTTCAGCTGCCCGTGGAGCCCCACCTTTGCCACCCATTCTCAGGTGAAGCCTGGCTTGGTCCTGTTCCTCAGGAAAAGGATGGACCCTCTCCTCTTCTCAGATGGTCCCTTCCATTCTCCCTGAAACCTGCATGACAGCTCCTAACGTGTTTCTCCAGTGCAACCAACCTCGAGACTCCAAGCGTCCACCCAGCTCACCTCCATCTATGCATCTCGTCTCTGGACTTGGTGACCGGACTCTTTATATTGACAGTAGGGTCTCAAACCCTGCATCCATCCCTCCTCTTGCAAGCCCTGCTGGCCAGATGAGGAAAAAGATTCCATGTCTCCTGCTTCCCTCTGGGGAAAGGTGCCTTGTTGTGATGAATGAACTCATTGTCGGGGCGGGGTGGAGAATGGTACTCCTACCTTCTCCTACCCATTGTGGGGGGAGCTTGGTGGGTATATTATATTTCATCATTTTAGGAGGCTGGCATGGCCAGGACTTCTGGGGGTGGGCATTTTTAGTGAAATGGGAAAGGAGTTTGCAGAGAAGTGATCTGTTTTAAAGGTCAAGTTTAGAGCATGGGCAAGGAAGTGGGTCTGCTTTATTTTTAGGGGTATTTTGGCTTTGCCCTCACCCCACCCCACGCTTATACCCAGAAATAGGTTGGATATAAACACTAAATACTAATCAATTGAACTAAACATCTAATAAAAAGAGAGGGTGAAGTAAACTGGGGGTCCTTTTAGAGCTAGTCAGTTCCTCTGCGTCACAGGGACCAGGAGCCATGTGAGCCCTCTGGGGCTCCCTGCTCCATTTCTTCAGGTGCTGAGGCTGAGGGATGTTTTTCCTCCTCTCACCACCTATCCCCTCAAGAGAAAAGTCCCTTTCATTCATTCATTATGGATTCAGAAACCCCCAAAACCTCTAGTGAGAGATAGGAAGATAGGACCTTGGCCTTGGCCTTAACCTTGACCTTGAGGCTGCCTCAGTCTTCTCTGCTTGGCCCTGAAGGCCACTGGCCCTTTCATCCCTGTTCAGAAACTTCAGCCCTTGATGGGTGCTCCAGGATGACGAAGAAGGGAAGGGTGAAGCACCTTGTGGAAGGGACCAGCTCTGCGGGCTGTGAATGGCTTTAACTGAGGCCCACTCGTTGTGAAGTTCATAGCCCGTCTGAGTGAGCAGGCTCTTCCTGTTCCCTTCTGCACCACTCAACCCCAAGACTGCAGGGGTTAGCACAGCAGAGTAGAGAAGGGTGAGGAAGCTTATGGGGGTAGTCAAAGATTCCTCTGCCAAAAGCACAAGGACTTTGGTGCGGTGTGCCTCAGTCCAGTTGATCTTCCCTGGCAGCCAGCAATATGTTGTTTCGTCTTCCAGGTCCTAGTTAAAGAGCACAGAGAAAATGGAGGTTCCCAGTCTAGGTAGGAACTGAGCTTGGATCGTGGTACAGGGACTTCGCCTTCTCCAACAGCATGATGGAGCTCCTGGGCTCCACATCCAGCTGGTTTGGTTTGCTAAAGCTCTTGTCAAGTGCAGAGGCTGCTCAAAGCTTGAAGTGAGAGCAAAGGAGCTTTCATCAGTTACATCACAGGCTTAAACTGCCCTAGGGACCTTTCCTATCTGTTGGATCACAGACGAAGGATCTGTACATGGTTCCCAGTGAAACCCAAGTCCTCCCAGTGCTAGATGAGAGAGCTCTCAACTTGAGTTATTTATCTGGGGTCTGCGATCCTTTGCCATCCCCTGGACCATATTGACTGTTGGGGCAAACCATGATTAGGTCTGTGACCACGCTTTTTCTAATCATTCTTTATTTATCATTCTTATTTTCAAATCTGTTAGCAGTTACCTCCCAGCAGTATCCCCCCAGCATCCTGAAGCCAGTGGAGCTTAGAGAGAGGATGCTAGTGGAGGGAAAAGGAGAAAGTACAAGACTTGATACTGCAGCAGAGTTCCAGGGTAGATGCTGACCCCAGTTACTGAACTTGGACTGTGAAGTCTTCCCATTTATTTTTGAAATGGGAGTTGATGCCTTTTGTACAATGTTATCAAAGCGTATCTCTTTTCCCCTCACTCCTCAAACATAGAGCATCGAAATGAGCATCACATGTAAAAGCCAAACCCCAGCTTTTCACTGGGGCTACTATCTTCCTCCCGTATGACCTGCTGCCCCTCATATTCCCCAGCATTTGGACTGTGTCACGTGGGTATTGACTGTATTTTCATTTTCTTGGCCTCATGGAAAAAGGCCTGGGACTAGATCTAGTCAGATGGATTTTCTTCTTCAGAGCATGTTGATGACACAGTACCTATTTAAATGTCTTTGCCTTATACCCGATTTGGTCCCTGTGTTAATAACAGATTTATTATCATGTATATTTACTATTGATGAATGGGAATGTGAGCCTCATAGTTACTGATCTATTTTGTATGCTGTAAAAAGCTTGTAATATAGGTTTGAGGTGGGCTGGCTACAAGAGCACTAAAACTTCTCACCTTTTAAACTGCTCTTTTTATCTGCTTGTGGGAATGTCATCTCTTCAGTGGAAGACTGGGTGGTCTCACGTTGAGGCTGTCGCCCAGTCCCATTAACCCCCTTATCCCTTCCCAGAAGGAAGAGACATTGCCCAGCTAGGCAGCAAGAAGCTGTGTTAAAAGCCCTCGTGTGGGTTTGGTTTTATGATGTTTTTCTCGGGTGGGAAAAACTTCATAGTTGTTTCTTACCGCCCTTTCTGGGAAGCAGGCCAGTGGTCTGCAGGTTTTTAAATGAGCTAGATGCCCCTCTCCCCGCCTCCTCTGGTCCCCAGACCTGGATCGCAGCACTGTGGTGCTCCAGGTGTGGTTTGCTCTATCGTGGGGGTTTCCTCCAGCTGCAGAGGCCCAGCGCTTTCCCAGCTGGGCCCGCAGAGTGAGAGCGCTTAGGGGCTATCCCACCCAGCAGACATGAGGCTGCTGTCTCCAAAAATTCATCCCAGCCCTCTGAACTGGCAAAGGCAAGGAGACTAGCCACTGACCATTGCCCTGGGGGCATCCCCTCACCCCACAGCTTCCCCTCTTGAAACCTAAATTTACCTCCAGGGAGAGGTGAGATAAAATTGTAAATAGACTTGCTACAGAGCAACTCAGGGTTGGGGTGTGTTTTAATTCTCCTGATCACTTGAAATAATCTGTAGGCTGAGTGCTTATGGGAGTGGGGGTGAAGTGTGACTCCAGGGTCCTTCCCTTCTGCAAAGCTCTGGGGGTGGAGTAGAGGGCATCTGAGGCCCTTTGATGGCACTACACTGAGCTGTCTGTTCTTCTGGAAACCCAACCTACAATCAACTGCAAATCAGATTCCTCACATTCCAGTTGTAGTCTTTCTTTCCCTGTTGAATCTCAGTCCCTGGCTGTACGTGGTCAAGGTGGCTTTCTGTGAGCCACCCTACTTTAGGGAATGGGAGGCATTACAGCTCTGCCTTCGAGACTCGTCTCTTAAAAGCAAAGTGAAGCAAAACTACAACCACCTTCAAAACACATACAGAAAAAAAAAGGATAATTTTAACCAAAGGAAGGGTTTGGTTCCATTCAACTCCACATTCATTGTGCCTTTACTTGTGTTAGATTTCTGTGCTTTCTTCCTCTCTCCCTCTTTGAAGCAATTAAAATCTTCCTTGATAACTGCTGTTTCCTTCTTTCTCCTCTTGTCTGACAACTTAGTGGGTTCCCTCTCTAATGGTCTTAAATCTCATTCCACTGGTGGCAGAGGGGCCGAGCCTTCTCTTCTCACGTCTAACCCTTGTCCTTTTCCACGGCGACCAGCATGGGAGCCATCGTCAACACTGAATAAAAGACTAGAGTGACGTGCATGAAGAGTGTATGTATGTATGTGTGCGTCCATCTTTGTCTGCATGTGGATTGGTTTCTTTTCTTCTAAAAAATAATTTATTGTATGATTTATTTTGGAGTTGTTTCTGATTACAGGGCTCCCTCTCCCAATTAGCATTGATTTCTTTACCCCCTTCTACAGTGTATAATCCGGTCTCAGGTTGGATTCTTTGGTACATTTCTTTCTTCTGGATGCCGTGCAGTTTAATTAAACCTTGCTTAAAAACAAAAGCAAAAAACCTGAAAACTGTGTAGTCTTGTCTGGAATACCACCACAAGTGGTGGCATAGAAGAGAGAAAATCTGTTGCCTCCGGTTAGGGTACTGGTTTGACTCCAGATCCTCTGAGGAAGTAGAAATACTAACTTGGGCAGAAGCACCTGCAGTTTCCTCGGAGTTTTCTCTCCTCCCCTCCCGCTGTGTTTTGAAAGTCACAGTTCCAGTTAGCCAGGCTGACTGGGTGATTCTGATAGAGTTGGTCATTATTTATATTTGCCACCTAACTCCCCTTTGCCCATGATTCCAGGGAACTCAGGAGACCCCCTGGCCTTGTGTCCTTTCCTTATATCCCTAATGCTTCTTTCCACCTGTCTGTGTCGTAGATTCTCACACTGAAGTGTGAAGAAAAGGTGAGGGCAGAACACGCAGACTGTGTCTGTTTTTATGTGGGTGTTGCCTTTTTTTCTTCACTGCTTAAGTTGAAATCTTAGCTGGCTTTCTTGAACTTTGACTATAGGTGTCAGAATTGAACCAGACATTCTCTGCTTACTGTGGTCAGCTGACGTAATCACCACTAAGATTTAATGAGCTTAATCTACACTTTCATCACTAGCAAAGGTCTTGAAATTATTTCCCGTACTGGTTCATAATAGGTGTGTGTATGAGCCACTCTCACACAGTTTGATATAAAAACCTATGAGGGTGCGGGAGCGAGGGGAAAAAAGGGCCTCCTTTCATTTTCATCCATATTTGCCAGGTTGGCTGAATTCCTGATTCTTTGACCCATCATTGTTATTAATATGATTAATAAACTACCTATTTATTGATTTAATTGTTCCTCCTGTGACTTTGAATAGCCCTCAAATAGAGTTTGCCTAGATGACTCTCAACTTCCTAACCCTATAAGCTTTCTCCGTCCTATTGGGATGGTATTGCTAGTCTGTGTACGTGTGCACGTGCCCGCCAGTGCACACGCGCACGCACACAGACACACGTAAGGATGCCGGACAGGTTCTTCCTGTGTCGTTTGGTCCCTTCCCCCATGACACCGTGTATGGATTAGCAAGTGATAAGGACACTAGTTTGCCCACTTTAATTATTACCAAGACATAGCCGCTTATGGTGACTGTGCCTCTTTAAGTATTTTCTGGCCCGGCCCAGCCCAGCCACTAACTGCAACTTACTGCAAGGAAGCTACCTGTCTCTGACTTCCTATTACTCTGCAGACAGAGGTAAGAGAACTAAAATGTCAACCTCAGGATCCTAACCACCCCAGAGGATAACTGTGGGGAAATGCTTCATCTTTGACATCACTGGAGCCCAGTCTGGATTGTTTTTACACATAATTGAATTGATTCTCCACTCCTAGGTTTAGGGGTGTGAGATTTAAAGGACTGTATACTGTCTGACCACAAAAAAATGTTCAAGCAAAAGATGGATATCCACTTGGCAGGAATGTCCTTTCCACTCATTGAGCAAGCGTTGATTGCGTATTTCACTCTGTGCCAGGCACCGACAATACGAAGACGAATAGGACATGGTCTTTGCCTCCAAGGAGCTCAGAGTCTAGCAGAAGACTTCAGGACAGCCACCAAGGGAAACCTATGCGGGGCATTAAAGGCTTTATGGTAATTAGCCAGGGCAGGAGGATGGTGACTGGCATTCCAGACATAGGAAACGGCAAGGACAAGGCACAGAAGCAAGAAACAGTATGATGGTATGCTCATCATGTTACTGGAGTAGTGAAAAGAGAAAACTTCAACTAGGTAACCTTTTAGAGAACTTTCAATCTGGACGTTCTGTGATTCTCTGCCTGCTTCCACAATAGTCACTTATTCTTGTAGGCTTTTCTTGGACCGGTGCTATATTTCCTGGTGAATGCTTTCATAGGCTCCAATATGCGCGTTAAGTACTCATGGCTTCCTCTGCCCCCTCTGTCCCACTGTAACTGAGGTAGTTGTTCACCACCATCCCTTAAAAGCTGGCTGGGCACTTGTTACTACCATTTCTGGTTATGAAGGACAAGTTTTAGGTGTCCAGGTTATAGAAATAAATATGAACAGTGAAAGTTGCTTCTTTCTAGGTTCTGTTCCCCTGTTAAGAGATCAGAAATACCAGCTGGTAAAAAAGTCTCCATTCTGTGGTAACGCCTTCTCCATTCGTGGCAGCCTACGCTCTTCACTCTTGTAGTTTTCAGCTCCTAGAAAGCCTTCCCCAGATGTGCTCCTTCGCCATCTCTCCCTCTAAAACCTGCATCTGTCTATTCCCCCTCGGTATGTTTAAGTGGTCAGGAGTTTGATCTCCTGTTAGACTTCCTGAGTTTGAATTCCAGTTCTTCCACTTACTAGTTGTGTGACCTTGGGCAGATTTACTCAACCTCTCTATTTCAGTCTTCTCATTTGTGAAATGGAAATAATTCCAACTTCATGGGGGTGCCTGTGAGAATTAATAAGGTGATATAGGTAAAATACCAGAGCTCAGCCCCTGGCACACACAAGCACTCAATATTGGTTTTTATCTCCTATATGAATGAACTACAATTAAGTTGATTGTATTATTGTTTCCCTATTTCTCGGCTTGCTCTATTTCATTTGATATTGAAGGATGACAGATACATGCTTACCATCACCTAGAATTGGATTTGGGTTTTTAGTGGAACCTGGGTTGTTAGCATTGGAAGCTGGCCTGTAAATTACTGCTTTAATTTATATTTTTCATTAAAAGTTCAGATTGCCACTCCATCTGTAGTGGTCTTCTCTGGCCCTGAAACCTTGTATTTAGCCATAAAAATATATTTTAAAATTAAGGGGCCATAATTCTCTCCACTCCCCACATTGTGTGGATTAATGGGATTAATGATAGGAAGGTGCACAGAATATCGTATTCTTATCTTTAACCAAAATAAAAGCAAAGGCCTGGCCCTTTTTCTCACCCTTGAAACACAAATCAGGGAGATACTGTGATGAAGTGCAGTGTACTTATGTATGTATGTATAACTTTACAAAGAAACATTGCTTTTGGTGTCAGGAAATGGACCTAGGCCCTTCGAGGCCACCAAAATTCTGTGACCTCTAACCCTCGGCACATTTGCTTTGTGTCTTGCAGTGTTGGGCATTAGATATGTAAAGCGCCTAGCGTCATACCTCGCACCCAGAACCGCCCAAATAATGGCAGGTATTATGTAGTAGCTCTCTGAAAATATAGCCCATTAGGGTATGGAAAAAATGGGTATGTGCCGCAGTGAGAAGGTATTGAAGGAAGGGCGTGGGAATACAGTCGCGAGCGGCAAAGACTACAGCTCCCGCCGGGCCTCACTCAGTCGGCCCCGGCGCAAGCGCGCATCTTTCCGCCGAGGCCCCGGATGTAGACTGCCCCTACGGGTCGGTGGGCGTGGCCTCATGGTGGCGCTGAGACCTGAGGCTCTCTTATTGGTTGTGCGCCTTCCCGCTTGATTGGTTGTGAAGGAGGGGGCTGGGGCCAAGGCGTGCGGCGCTCTGGCGACACCCAATCAGAAACGTGGCCGGGCTTTGGCGGGAGGCGGGAAAGCTGCGGCTGTGCAGATTTGGCGCGAGTGCGTCTGGGCTTTCCGGCTGACGGTGTGGTGTTTGTCCAGGATCCTGTCGTGGACAGTCCCTTTAGTTTTCTGTGGGAGACGTGAGAAGGCGCCGGCACTGAGGTGACGCAGCACTGTAAGGTGGAAAGGAGAGGAGGCCCGAGTCCTGGGGGGCGGCGGAGTTGGGTGAGGGGCTAGGGCGAGGACCGCGGGTTCCGTAAGAGGAGGAGAGCTCAGATCGCGGGAGGGTGAGAAGGTCAGGGTAGGGAAGGGAGACGTGCGCCCTCGGAGTGCTCTGGCAGTTGTGTTGAGTGCGGCAGGAGGGAGACGTTCCCCGAACATCTGGGGCTATGTGAGGCCGAGAGTTGGGTAGAGCGGGGATTGAGTGCGGAGTGAGGGCTTGAGGAAGCCTGTAAATGTGGGAGGCTGCTGGGCTAAGCTGGTGTTAACGATGTACCCCGTGCCTGGAGCCAGGGGGGTAGAAGTACTATGGACGCCAATTAAGATCAACTTGTTATTGTACGTCTCGAGTGGTTAAAAATTTGGGCTCTGGAGCCAGAATGCCTGGTCTTATATCCTGCTTTGCTGTGACGTTGGGCCTCTCTGCCTCTGTTTTTTTATCATTAAGATAAGGATAATAGTACCTACCTCTAAGGTGGTTGTAAAACTTAAAGGAGTTAATACCTAAAATGTTCATGACAGCCTTTTACTCGTAGTAGGTGGTGTTCGCTATTGTTGCATAGATTCGGATATGAAGCAAAATTAAATGCTAAAATATTGTTACAACATAATCTACTTATGAAATGAATTTCGATCCTCGGTATAAGTTACATGTTAGTTGTTTTTTCTTCACTTTTACATGTTGACTGGCTGTCCTGCTCTCTTTTTTGTACGCAGCTGTGTTGCCGTCATGCCTCAAACCCGCTCCCAGTCACAGGCTACAATCAGTTTTCCAAAAAAGAAACAGCCTCGGACATTGGACAAAGCTAAAAACTCCAGTGACACCAAACTAGAACTGACAAATGTCCAGGCCATACCCCGTTCTCCTTGTGCAAAAATTCTGCCTCTTAGCCCCAGAAAACGTCTGGGTAAGCTGTCCATTATTTGAGTACAACTTTTTGACTGGTAGCTCTCGACCTCTCTTTCTCAATAATAAGATGCCTTTGAAACAGCTTTCTGAGTTCAGTTAAGACCACTCTGTTCCCTTTGGTTATTTTCAGAGTGGTTGCTAAGTGCTTACTGAACTTCAGAGTTAAGCTACTTATTGAGATCACTTTCTGAACTACTTAATAGGTCTGATCTTCAGTTCCTTAATACTGAACTTGGTTCTGTCAGTGTTTTAAACAACCTTGCAGTTAGTTATATAGTATTTTGAAACTTGCCTCGTTAGTTGTGAAATTAAGAAAAACAGGTGACAATTCTTATTTTAGAGCAGTGGTTGGTAATCCTTTATTTTTCTTTCCTTTTTTTTAAAAATTATTTTTTGTTTGTTTTTTCCTTTCTTGTTTTAGATCATCTGTTTTTAATGAGGGGTGATTTGGTAGGATCTGGAGACATTTTTAGTTGTCATAACTGAGGGGGTGATACTGATATAGTGAATAAAGGCTGGGAATGCTGCTCAATATTCTACAGTGCACAGGACAGTCCCCCACAATGAAAAATTACTTGGTCCAAGATATCAATGGTGCCAAGGTTGGGAAACCCTGTTTTAGAGCAATCCTAGAATTTCATCCCATTAAAACCGCTACCAGATAGTAAGACTCAGTGGTGCCATCTGGTGGCCACTATTTGCTTCTGGATGAGAGGCATTTTATTTTGGTGGTTCTGACCATGATAGAAATTCATCCCCCTTTTTGGGGGGGATGCAGAGATCTTTCCAAGTCCTTTTACTGTCCACTGCTATGAATGACCACATTTTGATTTTAATGTTTCAGGTGACGACAACCTGTGTAACACTCCCCGTTTACCTCCCTGTTCTCCACCAAAGCAAAGCAAGAAAGAAAATGGTCCCCCTCGCTCACGTACATCTAAGGGGCGCAGATTGGTATTTGACAATCAGCTGACAACGGAGTCTCCTAGCAAAAGAGAACAAGCCAGACTTCACCAAAACAAAATATGTTCCTCAGTTCCAAAAGGTCAAGACATCGCAACAAATTCTGAGCAGAGATGTCCACTGGAGAAAGAATCTGCATGTCTGAGACTTCTCAAGCAAGAAGGTTGGTTCTTACATGGCAACTGTTAGTGCAGCCTCATAAACATGGCTGGTGATTCCAAGTGAAACCTGGTGGGTCTTCTCAGTCACCTCTGTTGTGTCTAATTGTTCTTTCATGTCTGGCACAGGCACTTGCTACCAGCAAGCAAAGCAGGTCCTGACTACAGCTGTCCCAGATCAGCTGCCTGCCAGGGAAAAGGAGATGGATGTCATCAGGAATTTCCTGAGGGAGCACATCTGTGGGAAGAAAGCTGGAAGTCTTTATCTTTCTGGTGCTCCTGGAACTGGAAAAACTGCCTGCTTAAGCCGAATTCTGCAGGACCTCAAGGTACATTGAGAGTCTGAATTATGATGCTCTTGCCAAAATGACACTTGGTTATCAAGGCTTAAGAAAAAGTAGAAGTGCTTAGGGCACTGCAGTTTTCCCCAAAGTAAGACATTTTTAATTTCACTGTCTAAATCTTTCCAAATGAAAGTGGACCTTATTCTCTTGTATGCTGTTAACTCTTCAAAGACACTTCACGTTCCATCAAACCTTTATCTGAGGCCAAAATAACTCGCATGTTTCCATTTTTCTAGAAGGAACTGAAAAGCTTTAAAACTATCATGCTGAATTGCATGTCCTTGAGGAGTGCCCAGGCTGTATTCCCAGCCATTGCTCAGGAGATTTGTCAGGAAGAAGTATCCAGGCCAGCTGGGAAGGACATAATGAGGAAACTGGAAAACCATATGACTGCGGAGAAGGGCCCCATGATGTAAGCATTGCTCTGCTGCATGTTGCTCTGTGAAAATCTGCAGGATCCATTGCCCACAAACTCACATTCTCGTCTCTTGAATGTATCAGTTTGCTCATAAAAAGAACATTTCCTATATTTTCTCTCTGAGGGGTAGTTACATAAGCTTAAAGGGAAAGAAGAAAAGAAAAAACAAAAGCCTTCTAATTTTAAATTGGGGGAAAATGTTTTTAAACTAATTACTTGAAAAACCTGTATGTTACTTTCTGGTGATGATGGGGGGTATCATCATAACAGTGACTGGAGGTGGGACAGATTATGATCTTCAAACTGGTCTTTTTTTTTTTTTTTTTTTTTTTTGCGTTACGCAGGCCTCTCACTGCTGTGGCCTCTCCCGTTGCGGAGCACAGGCTCCGGACGCGCAGGCTCAGCGGCCATGGCTCACGGGCCCAGCCGCTCCACGGCATGTGGGATCTTACCTGACCGGGGTACGAACCTGTGTCCCCTGCGTCGGCAGGCAGACTCTCAACCACTGCGCCACCAGGGAAGCCCTTCAAACTGGTCTTAGCTGTAGGAATGTGACCTAGTGTCAGCCCAGATCAAACAGATTGGAGAGTTAAGGTGAACATGGATACTAATTGTTTCTCTTTTTTTGTAGTGTGTTGGTGTTGGACGAGATGGATCAGCTGGACAGCAGAGGGCAGGATGTACTGTACACACTGTTTGAATGGCCATGGCTAAGCAATTCTCGGTTGGTGCTGATTGGTTAGTGCTCTGTTGTTGATGTTACATGGTGGTTCTAAAGACCTTTTTCTAATCTCTTCAGTTTATTCATCACATATTTTGTTTTGTTTTGTTTTTTGGCTGTGCCATGCAGCTTGCGGGATCTTAGTTCCCCGACCAGGGATTTAACCTGGGCCCCAGCAGTGAAAGTGCCGAGTCCTAACCAGTGGACCACCAGGGAATTCCCTTATCAACTATTATTTGATCTTACACCAGCTTTCTGCTCTCTTACCAAAATAAGAAAGTTACTATAAAATAATAGGAATCTTAATCTAAGTCAAGTCAACTTTGTTAACTCTGGATAGAAATGACATAATGCTGCATTTCAGAGACAATTGATTTTGGGAGTATCTGATCCTGCTTATAATTGAACAATTCTAAATCTAACTCAAAAAGAGCATTCTTTGATGATTATACACATCTTATCTAATGGGTATTGAGGGTGGGGGGTGGGGGAAAGTGCGAAGCAACTGTTGGAATGCTGGATTATAACTGGAAATTTTATTCAGTTTTTTGGTGGGTGTTTTTTTGTTTTTTCAATATTTATTTATTTGGCTGCGCTGGGTCTTAGTTGCAGCGTGTGGGATCTAGTTCCCTGACCAGGGATCAAACCCGGGCCCCCTGCATTGGGAGCGTGGAGTCTTAACCACTGGACCACCAGGGAAGTCCCTTATTCAGCTTTCAGAGGGTTTGGTTTTCCTTTTACGATGATTTGACCAATGATGCTTAGTGTCATTTATCTCCTCCTCAGGTATTGCTAATACCCTGGATCTCACAGACAGAATTCTGCCAAGGCTTCAAGCTAGAGAAAAATGTAAGCCACGGCTGTTGAACTTCCCACCTTATACCAAAAATCAGATAGCCACTATCCTGCAGGATCGACTTAATCAGGTGAGTGCCAAGCATTGTACCAAGCTGAGTGTTCCTTGTATCACCTGTGAAGATGGTTCAAAAATATTTTGCTTTGATTGCATTACTAAACAGGGAGTTCCTATAGCCCATTCATTTTTATATGAATTTCTACTCTTGGCTCCATTTTAGATGCCTTAGTGTTGGAATAAAAAGAGTTAGAGGAGTTACCCAAATGCTTCTCTAATGGCCTTTTAAAATAGGACCTATGGGGACTTCCCTGGTGGCGCAGTGGTTAAGAATCTGCCTGCCAATGCAGGGAACACGGGTTCGAGCCCTGGTCTGGGAAGATCCCACATGCTGCGGAGCAACTAAGCCCAAGCGCCACAACTACTGAGCCTGCGCTCTACAGCCCGTGAGCCACAGCTGCTGAGCCCACGTGCTGCAACTACTGAAGCCTGAGTGCCTAGAGCCTGTGCTCCACAACAAGAGAATCCACCTCAGTGAGAAGCCCGCCCACCGCAACGAAGAGTAGCCCCCGCTCACCGCAACTAGAGAAAGCCTGCAAGCAGCAACGAAGACCCAACACAGCCCTAAATAAATAAATAAATTTATAAAATAGGACCTATGAAAACACTTTCTCTACTGGAAATGACCAAATAGATTTTAGTTTAGTTTAGTTTTGCTAATTTAAGTTTCAAGTGCTTTTTTTTCCCTTTGTGGACCTCTACCACATTCCTACAAAATGCTTAAATGTATGAAATCCCCATTTACTTCTAAGCAGAAAAGGCTTCTTAGACCCTAAAGGTTGGTCAATCAAGTCTGGGACCTAAATTGCAGAGGGGAAGTCTTATAGTTCAAACTGTCATCTTCTATGTCTTGTTCAAAGGCATCTAAAGATCAGGTCCTGGACAATGCTGCCATTCAGTTCTGTGCCCGCAAAGTCTCTGCTGTTTCGGGAGATGTTCGCAAAGCGCTAGATGTTTGCAGGTGAGTTATGGCGCTGTTGGCTGCTTTTATTAAAAAAAAGAAATGCTGTTAATTGTCTCATGTAACTCAAGTGAATGTGGCTTAAGAGGCTCCATTCTGCCACTTTTTACGCTCAGAAAGGAGGACTTGTTTCTCAGTGGGGAGCTCTGCATTTCCACCGTGTTAATGTCTAAAACATTATCAGTCCATTACCTACAGAGGGAGAAACAAATGAGATGTTGCTGGCACTCCCTGTGGTGATTATAGATTGGTTAATTACATTTGTATTAAAAAAGACTCCAGTTTACTTTTCCATTAGCTGGTCTCAAGCAGGTTTATTTATGGACCTGAACCATCTTTGCCTTTAGACTTTTTTTTCCCTTCCTTTGCTTTTGTGAGCACCCCTTCCTCCAGTTGGTGGTCCCCCACAGTTGTACTCCAGACCTCTCTCTCCCTTCCCATCCCCCGGCCCCTCCTGCTGGGGAAAGCCTCTGTGCTGACTGATGAAATTTCTTCCTTCCCAGTAGGGACACTTGGTCCATTAAAATGATACTTGCTGTGTTGGCCCGCTGGTCCAACTTCCCCCTACTGTGATGCAGAAGATCCAGGTCTGGCTTATGGCTTCCTGTGGGCAAAGTACTTTGGAGAGAGCAGTGGGAGAGTAAGCTCTTCCTATTGCTAGATGGTGTCATCCTGGATTTGAAAGTTTCCCCTAGTCAGCGAACTACTTGGGTAAAGACTGCAACTATGAGCAAGAGTCAAGTAGGCCAGTGTGGTTCTAGCCTACACATATCCTGTGTGGAGATAACTGAGGACCCTCCTCTTAGGTCTGGTGTGTATGGGCGGTACTGGCTCTCTTAGTCAAGCACCCACACTACGTGTCCTCTCTCCCATCCATGACAGGTTTTCCTTGTTCAAAATGTTATCATTGGCTCAGTGTACGATGACTTACTTGGCCTCTGTAATAGGAAACCATGTAGTGTTGAAGTTTCTCAGATTCCCTGGTCCATGAATTATTTCAAGGCAATTAAGTCCCCTGGAGCTGAGACATAACCCAGTTTTGTCTGGGGGCTTTAAAGTTATAAGACATGTTGCTTTTTGTTAATGTGCCTGTTTTTGAGCTTTGGTGGTTTGGTGTGGTGTTTGGTTTGGCTCAGCCTAAATTAATTTTAGAAATTTTTTTTTTTACAGGAGGGCTATTGAAATTGTAGAGTCGGATGTCAAAAGCCAGACTATCCTCAAACCACTGTCTGAATGTGAGTAGTTTATCTCCTTTTTGTCTTCCTTTATAATTTGAAGCTTAACTTCTCTGAGGAAAGAGAGAGAGAGCTGAAATGAGCATAGTTAAATCCACACTCACCCATTTGTGTACGGGTGTCGTGTTTTTCATCAGTTTCATCCACTTTATTTCCATCTTGCCTGCCAGTGCTATAATCCATGTGTTACTGGAAATGAGTTCTCCAGGGTGTTACATGAATGGTTGGGACAGAGTCAGTTTTCTTTCCAAGCTCTAGGAATGAAAACTAGACAGTAAGGTTGGATCAGCTTCTCTCTGGGTACTTACGTTGAGTGCACTTTACGTCTCAACATAGGTGAAAGCAAAGCCTGGGAAGTAAGAGAGTCAGACGGGAAGGAATTGAGTTCAACTTGAGATATCACAAGCCTTTAAACAAGTCTAGGAGGGCGGAGGTACAAAGATAGTATTGCTACGGTAAACTGCAGCCGTTTACAAAAATGACAAAATTAATTTTCCTTTCCTTCAACCTTGTTCTCTTAGCTATGGCAGAGGTAAAATGTCCATGAACTACATATCTTGTGTTTAATATCCACTCTTAATCTTTAGAAACAGGACAGTCTGATTTGATTGTTTCTTCCTTCACTCCTGCACTGGTTGAGTGTTACTAAAATTGTTTCTAGCACCATAGCTCCACAGAAAACTCTTTTTTTCATCAACTTGTTGAAAGAAAATTAATAAAAGTATTTCAGAATTAGCCAAACTTAGTGCTTTGACTGATAGCAGGTAATATTTGCCAATGCATAGACTAGATACTGGTTTCTCTTCAACTTTTCACATTATTCCCTTTTTTCCCTTACCAATAACATTTAGGCTTATCAGTGGACCCTGTGAGCACCGCCTACACACATACAACTAAAAGGGGTTGTGGATTCCTGTCATAAATTATTAATCTAATTCCTGTCTTTTGACCTCTGGTAGGTGTGGTTAGCTTTTTACAGGCTCTGGACGCGCAGGCCCAGCGGCCATGGCTCATGGGCCCAGGTGCTCCGCGCATGCGGGATCCTCCCAGACCGGGCACGAACCCGTGTCCCCTGCATCGGCAGGCGGACTCTCAACCACTGCGCCACCAGGGAAGCCCCGGTGTGGTTAGCTTTTAATGGCTCTAGAAAGCTATAGGGAGACTGACTTGAAATAAATCTAAGAAGACACTCTCCAGTAAATAGCACTAACTGGGCTTCTTTGACACGGTGTGGGCACACCAGTGTTGAAGATACTCAGACACAAGCTGGATAGGTGACCACTTTTTTTTTTTTTTTTTTTTTGCGGTACGCAGGCCTCTCACTGCTGTGGCCTCTCCCGTTGCGGAGCACAGGCTCCGGACGCGCAGGCTCAGCGGCCATGGCTCACAAGCCCAGCCGCACCGCGGCATGTGGAATCTTCCCGGACCGGGGCACGAACCCGCGTCCCCTGCATCAGCAGGCGGACTCTCAACCACTGCGCCACCGGGGAAGCCCAGTGACCACTTTTTGGGATTGTTTTGAAGAGACTCAGCTGTTGGTAGGGAGCGAGACTAGACCTCTAAATTCCTCTCAACTTTAAGATTCTGCTTGTTTGATCGCTGATCTCCAGTTTCTCCATGATGATTAGTCCTCGGTAGCATCCCTTTTGTGATCATGAAATAGAAGCAAACTCTTGTGAGACAACTGACTTGGTCTCAGGAAGTAACTTTAGGCAAAGGTTGTTACAGAGCAAATCGCTCCTCTGTCTTGCAATTCCTGCGTCCAAACAATGAGGCCACAATCCTCCGAAGCTTGTTGGCAGTTTCCCAACCTCCAGACTCTGAGATGGTGCTATCTGCTAAGATATCCAGTGACATTTTCTCAAGTGTTGCTCTCCTGGAGATCAGCTTGGGCAAATGAACCCAACCTCAAAGGTCATTTGGGGAGGCTATCTAGAGGACTTAGGTAGGATTGTCCACGTTTAGCCACTCTTTTTTTGATGTGGACCATTTTTAAAGTCTTTATGGAATTTGTTACAATATTGCTTCTGTTTTATGTTTTGGTTTTTTGGCCGTGAGGCATGTGAGATCTTAGTTCCCCAACCAGGGATCGAACACGCACCCCCTGCATTGGAAGGTGAAGTCTTAACCACTGGACCGCCAGGGGAGTCCCCTAGCCACTCATTTGATTTGAAATATTAGGTAATTTTTTGAGCCTTTAAAAATGACCAGGGACTTCCCTGGTGGCACAGTGGTTAAGCATCTGCCTGCCAATGCAGGGGACACAGGTTTGAGCCCTGGCCCGGGAAGGATCCCACATGCCACGGAGCAACTAAGCCCGTGCACCACAACTACTGAGCCTGCACCCTAGAGCCCACGAGCCACAACTCTGGAAACCCGTGTGCCTAGAGCCCGTGCTCTGCAACAAGAGAAGCCACCGCAATGAGAGACGCCCGCCCCACAATAAAGAGTAGCCCGTGCTCGCCGCAACGAGAAAAATCCTGCACGCAGCAACAAAGACCCAACGTAGCCAAAAATAAATAAATGAATTAAAAAAAAAAAAAAAAAAGACCAGACCCAGCCATCTTTGTTTCAAGGTTCTGTCCTTTGCCTTTGAGATATCAGGAACCTTCCAAGTAAGGCTGAGTACATTGGTTCTCTGTCTGGTCCTTATTCTTTCATGAGGTGGATTTTGTCTCTCTGACATTAAATTGCACTCTACAGGATAAAATAGCTCACCGTTCTGCCCAGAAGAAGGATTACTGTACTTTCCAAGTCATGTCACACTTTGGCATCTTTCTAAGGATCACATTTTGTCTCATCCTTTGGCTTCTAGTTACAGAATTGGAACTTCTGCTTTGCTCTTGAATTTCCTTCTGTTAAAACTTAATATCATCTGTCTCAATACCCACAATATTTAAAAAATCTAATTAAGCTTGATTTATTTAATTTATAGGTAAATCACCCTCTGAGTCACTGGTTCCCAAGCGGGTTGGTGTTATTCACATATCACAAGTCATTTCGGAAGTTGATGGAAACAGAATGACTTTGAGCCAAGAAGGAGCACAAGATTCCTTCCCTCTTCAGCAGAAGATCTTGGTCTGCTCTTTGCTGCTCTTGACCAGGCAGCTGAAAACCAAAGAGGTCACTCTGGGGAAGGTTAGTTGGGAATCTCAGCAGATGGAGCTGGGGTGGAGATGAGAATCTGCTTTGCAGAGCAGATATTTTCCAAAAGGCCTATCACGCTCCAGCTGATGTGAATTAAAAATGGATTTTAACAGTAAGAATAAGTACTGGTATCATGTAAAAGGCAGCTGACTTTATTTCCCTTGGGTTGTGGTTGAGACTTTACCATTAATCTTCTCCCCTTTATTTCTGCCTCTCCCTATGAAATATATAAAGCCCCTTTCTTGCATTACAGTATAGGTTTTTGGCAGTATCTCCAAAATGCCTTTTCAAGGATTTCATTGTAAAGGGAGAGAATTAGGGTATTCAGATAACTGTTTTGCAAACCCAGATTCACATTCTTTTAAAAGATTACAGGGTTACAAGAGATTTGACTTTTGGGCTTCCCTGGTGGCACAGTGTTGAGAGTCCGCCTGCCAATGCAGGGGACACGGGTTCGTGCCCCAGTCCGGGAAGATCCCACGTGCCGCGGAGCAGCTGGGCCTGTGAGCCGTGGCCGCTGGGCCTGCGCGTCCGGAGCCTGTGCTCCACGGCCGGAGAGGCCACAGCAGTGAGAGGCCCGTGTACCGCAAAAAAAAAAAAAAAAAAAAAAGACATATGACTTTTAAGCAACATTTGTTCTCCCTTGTTTCCTCTCAGTTATATGAAGCCTATAGTAACGTCTGTCGCAAACAGCAGGTGGCAGCTGTGGACCAGTCAGAGTGTTTGTCACTTTCAGGGCTCTTGGAGGCCAGAGGCATTTTCGGATTAAAGAAAAACAAGGAAACGCGTTTCGCAAAGGTACAACGAACTGCTTCTTTGTGACATTGCTTTTAACTGTCCTGCTTTGGCGACCTTATCTTTTGCTAAAGTAAAGATTTAAAAATGACCACAAATAGATAAACAATTTTTTTGTTAGGTAGGGTTTAAGGTGTGTGAAGATAGGGCTGTAGTAAGTATGAATGAGATTTTTTCTTTTTCGGGCTATTGCAAAAGCAGTGTTTAACTTGCTTGCCTCTTGTGAGAAAAGTTTAATACGGTAGAAGTTTGTGTAATAAAAACTGCTTTTGTGAGTTCTCCACCATGAAAAGTGCTTTTCTCTTTGCAGGTGTCTCTGAAGATTGAAGAGAAGGAAATAGAGCATGCTCTGAAGGACAAAGCTTTAGTTGGAAATATCTTAGCTACTGGATTGCCTTAAATTCTTTTCTTTTATACTAATACTCCGCCTAAAAGTATCTGGCTGGCATTTGGAGAGGGATGGAATCTTCATTTTATTACTTTATATACACTTAGGTCTGAAAGCAAACATGACCTTTTTTACTTAAAAGTGATAAAATTTAAGCTATAAATTCGTGAATATTAGCACAGAATTATTTATCTTTGGGTCTTATTATGTTTATGCATTAAAAACTACCAAGTAGACCCTTTTTAATTACATTCACTGCCTCTACCTCTAGTGTGCCTCTCACCAACATGCTTGCAAGTATACAGACTTAGGCTGTGGAAAGTTTATATATTTATCTCTGTTTCCTCAAACATTGGTGTATTTTAAAGAATTTTTGGGCTAGAGGAAGAATGAAAAAGGGGTTGATCCAGGAAAATAAGCAAGTCCACGTGGAGATCTGGAGGACACTTTGATCAAAGAATGTCTTTCTGTTTGGAGTATACTGTGTTCATGTTGCAGATACTTCCACGTTGTGACTTTTTTTTTTTTTTGCGGTACGCGGGCCTCTCACTGTTGTGGCCTCTCCCGTTGCGGAGCACAGGCTCCGGACGCGCAGGCTCAGCGGCCATGGCTCAGGAGCCCAGCCGCACCGCGGCATGTGGGATCTTCCCGGACCGGGGCACGAACCCGTGTCCCCTGCATCGGCAGGCGGACTCTCAACCACTGTGCCACCCGGAAGCCCCCACATTGTGACATGTTAAAGACTCATTGAGTGTCTTGGGCACTCCCAAGCTTGTGGAGGTGGTAAGGAGAATGTGACTACAGGCTGTGAATATATTTATTTTCAAGTTGCATTCTTTGTCTTCTTAAGCAGTCACATTTCAGGAGAGCTCAAACTTTCAGAAGGCAATGTGAAAATTGTGAAAATCCTCCCCAAACTGTCCCACTGTCCTAGCTGCCCTCAGATGAAGCCACTTGTTTCAAGATGCCTTCGTTTGGGGTTGGATTTTCAATGACACCTCATTTTCCCAGTCTTCTAGGTAAATGCATCCATATGGTTACTCAAGTCTCCCCTTTCTTCTGGGTTTGGTTTCCAGTGGCATTAAATGGCAATTTGTGACGGGGACGCCAGAGGGCACCATTATAACACTGACTGCCTTGAAAGTGCAGGCATAGGGCTGGGGTAGTTTTGAGAGAAGGGGAAAAGAGAAACAAGTTTGCTTCATTTGGGAGGTTGCTGTACTTTTATAACTCGAGCAAATGCTTGGAATGCAAACCATGTGCGCTATGAATGGTCTGAGAGCCAGTGACCAAGTCTGCTGCTCCCTGAGCTCTTCTGCCTCCTCCCACCTTCCCAACATGGCTTGGGTTTGAGAACTTGATATGTGTACAAATGATCTGTTGGCCACTGTTTCGTTCATGCTGCCCACTGTATCCTTGCAATGTGATCTGGTCTACAGCAGGTGGTATGGGATAGAAGGGCACACAGAGAGAGCCCTCTGAAATGAACACTACCCACCGGTGTGTGTAGCAGCGCATAGTCTATAGACAGGAGTCTGACTGTCTCACCGTCACACTCCTTCACTAGAGCATTCATTCCCTCTGAGAGCAATTTGTGAGGGGAGGACACAGTTCTATACCTAGAAGCTTGGAAAGTGTCTGGGGCTATAAGGGTTAACCAGCATAATTGCAGAGATTGTCCGAAGGCTGATGGAAAGCAGAGACTGAATGGGATTGAGAACAGATGCGAGGCTTGATTTAAATTACATTTTATTGGATGCTGCAGCCTTAAGAGACGTGACTGCTTTACAGTTTGTTTCCACACTGTGGGCAGCTGCTGTCTGTTCTGTGTCCACAGTAGGATCCTGCCCAAAAAGGAGCAGCCTCCCCACCTCGTTGTGTTGGAGGCTTGGCGCCTTCCTCTTAACTGCAGGGCTGGAGTCAGGAACATGGCTTGCCTCGCAGTGGGGCTGCTATGCATCCTCCATGGCTCTGAGCCAAGATCGCGTTTGCAGATTCAAAGGGGCCAAATTTCTTTCCCCTCTACCTCCTTTCTCTCCCTTTCCCCTGGTATTTGGAAATCAGGTTTTCTGTGTACTAGTTTGTTAGTTTCCTTTCCTTCCATTCTCCCCACACTGTCAATTTCTAGGTCATTGATGCTCTTAAGACTTCAGCAATTGGAACAGGGTTGGTTCTGTCAGTGATGCGTGAAGCTGACTTAAGAGTCCCTGCTTGGCTTCCGCTGCCCTTGTGGGAGCAACACCTGATGCATGTTTGTCAGCGAGGTCTTCAGTGTGATTCAGACAGCTGGAGCAGACTGAGAGGGGGAAGAAAGTCCTTTTCTCACTGAAGCTGACAGCTCTGGGAAGGTGGTGGGATTTTTAAGGGGCTGGGCTGAGCCTGTGGTTACTTGTTTTTTGCCAGGAGCATAGGCTGTTTCACAGGGAGTAGTGGCAGAGATGCTGACCTGCATTCTTCCTCTTGAAGGCGGTGGGCTGTGTGTCTGTATCCTGGTTTATTTATTTTTCTTCACAGTAGCAGATGAAGCTTCCATAGAGTGTTGGTGGGTATTGCCACGGAACGCACACAGACACAATAAAACTGGCATGAGTTTCAACCCCAGAGCTGCAACTGACATTTCTGGCTCAGTGAAGACCTGCCTGTGGCTGGATGACTGGCAAGACAGTGTGAGGTCCAAGCTATCCAGAGATCCAGAAAGTCGGCAGAGCTCTCTTTCTTCCCCTTCATTGCTCCCTGCCTTTATTCAGTGTCCTTTTAAGATGCAGCAATAAGAACTGGGAAGGAGGAAAGAGATACGACTTGGGGCTTTTAAAAAATATCTGTGGAGAGGTTACCTTGACTACTGAGGGAGACCAAAAGAGAGAGCCGAGATGAAGGTTTTATTTACATTTGTATCTGTCCCCAGCACTTAGTACAGTGCCTGAGACCTGGGAGGTATTCAGTAAACTTGTTGAGTGAACAGATACATGACCAAGTAAGATGCTGCCTCTCCCTCCATCTTGGGGACAGTTCTAATCTGGAGGCAGACATTGCTCGTGCTTTTGCACCGAGGTGGAGCAGGCCATTGTGAAAGAGGGGTGCTCCATCCTACAACATGTGTCAGCACAGCATTTATCAGCCTCACAGATGCGTTCCAGTGGCTCCCTCTGATGTGGTATTTTGCTTGAGGCAACTTCCATGTTGCTCCCAGGAAGCCTTGGCTTTGGAGGGAGAGTCCACCTACAGGCTGGGAGGAGGGGGTGCCTGTCTGGATGTTCCCTAATGTCCCTAGAGATGGGCCAGAAGCTGTGCCTCTAGTTGGCAAGGTATCAGGGAGGAAGCCACCTCTGATGTCCCACTTTTATTTTTTTGCCGTACGCGGGCCTCTCACTG